GAGCGCAAACAGAACACGCCAGCCACGCAGCCCCGTACACGCCAGCCACGCAGCCCCGTACACGCCAGCCGGGCAAAGGCCTAGCCGCGAACACGCCAGCCGCGAACGCGTCAGTCACACAAACGCCTGCACAAATGCGCCGGCAGCAAATGCCCTGAGATGCCAGCAGCGCCCTGCGCAACCAAACTCATATTAACCATACATAAATCGAATTCTCGGTATTACCTGTCCCGATAAGCGCTTCTCCCACTTTGCCACACCCCAAAAAGATGGGCTTTCATCTCAGAATCACAGACGCTGTGGGAAGAAACGGGAAATACAGGGGTCCTCGGGGTATACCATGTAATTTTTTTTTTTTTTTTTTTTTTTTTTTTTTTTTTTTTTTTTTTTACTTTGGGAATGTTTAATTGTTACATGAGCACAACTTGACCATATTGTGAGAATGATCAGCTTGCTTCATTCCAATCAATAAACATGGTGTATCTATCCATTCATTTGTGTTTAATATCTCTTAGCAATGTTCTGAAGTTTTCTTTGTTTGTTGTTCCATTTTTTTTAACTTAATAAATCTTTATTGTTCAAATCACAATTATCCCTCTTTTTTCCCCCATAGCTGCCCTCCACCCAGTTCCCACTCCACCCTCTGCCCTTATCCCCCCACCCCCGTCCTCATCCATTGGTGTATGCTTTTTATCCAGTTGCTGCCCGCACCCCCCACACCTCTTTCCCCCTTAAAATTTTCAGTCCACTCCCTTTCTATGCCCCTGATTCTATTATATTAACCAGTTAATACTGTTCATCAGATTTTTTATTCACTTGGTTTTTAGATTCACTTGTTGATAGATACATATTTGTTGTTCATAATTTTTATCTTTATCTTTATCTTCTTCTTCCTCTTCTTAAAGAACCTTTCAGCCAAAACTGGTTTGGCTAAGTGGATAAAGCGTTGGCCTGCAGACTGAAGGGTCCCAGGTTCAATTCTGGTCAAGTGCATGTACCTTGGTTGTGGGCACATCCCCAGTGGGGGGAGGGGAGGGTGTGCAGGAGGCAGCTGATCGATGTTTCTCTCTATCCCTCTTCCTTCCTCTCTGTAAAAAATCAATAAAATATATTTTTTTTAAAAAGAATACCTTCCAGCATTTCATATAATACTGGTTTGGTGGTGATGAACTCCTTTAGCTTTTTCTTATCTGTGAAGCTCTGTATCTGCCCTTCAATTCTGAGTGATAGCTTTGCTGGGCAGAGTAATCTTGGTTGTAGTTTCTTGCTATTCATCACTTTGAATATTTCTTGCCACTCCTTTCTGGCCTGCATAGTTTCTCTTGAGAAATCAGCTGACAATCATATGGGTCTCCCTTAGAGGTAATTGTTTTTCTCTTGCTACTTTTAATATTCTCTCTTTGTCTTTTGCTCTTGGCATTTTAATTATGTGTCTTGGTGTGGGCCTCTTTGGATTCCTTTTATTTGGGGTTCTGTTAGCTTCCTGGACTTATAAGTCTATTTCTTTCACCAGGTGGGAGAAATTTTCTGTCACTATTTCTTCAAATTGGTTTTCAGTATCTTGCTCTCTCTCTTCTTTTATTTCTCTTCAAGAAATAAAAAACTTCCTGGAAACAGAGGAGATCCAAGATGGCGGCATAGGTAAACATCTAAGCTGCTGCTGTGCACAACAATTTCAAAACTACAACTAAAAGACAAAATGTCTATCACCCAGAACCACGGGAAAGCTGACTGAGTGGAAGTTCTACAACTAGAAGGAAAGAGAAAAGAGCATTCAGGGCACAAGCACTGAAAAACTGAGGTATGGGGGTGGGAGGTCGTGCGCGAGATACGGGCTGTCCCACAGGCTCCTTACACTATCTTCATTTCTTTTGTTTCTTTTTGCTTTTTGCTTTTCCAGAGGAATGTTTATTGCTCCTTTGTATTCCAAGTCTTTGACTTGATTCTTGCGATCCTCATGTTTGCTTTCAGGTCATTTTATATTTTTTAATTCAGTTAATTAAATTATGCTTAATTTCTAGTTGATCCTTTTTCATATCCTTCAGGGTTTCATTAAATTTATCGGCCTTTTCTAGGAAATTCTTGAAAAACCTTATAACCGTGGTTTTGAACTCTATATCTAGTCATTTGCTTTCTTCCATGTCCTTCATTTGTGATCTGCCTTTTTGCCTCCGCATTTTAGCTGCTTCCCTGAGTTGATGGAGTAGCTTTTTGTGCTGGGTGTCCTAGCAGGGCCCAGTGGCTCAGCCTTCCCAGTTACCTGAGGTGGACACTCTTGATGCGCCCCTTCATGGGCTGAGTGTGCAGTCTTATTGTAGTTAAGCCTAGATTGTTGTTAGTATCACTGGGGGGAGTTGACCTCCAGGCCAGTTAATTGGCTATGAGGATCAGCTGTGTCTCTGCTGGGAGAGCTTCTGTGCTCAGCTTGGATGGGGTAGAGTCTCAGGGTGGAGAAGTCAGCCTAGGTTTCCCCATCAGCCCCGCCCTAAAAGGCCCGTGTGTCTCAGTGTCCCATAGTAATGGCTGCACACTCCTCTGAGAAAAGGCTGCTCTCGAGTTCTGCCCGCTGCCAGACAGTCGTTTCTCCCCGAGTTAGTTTGGGTGCCCAAAGTCTCACCCGGAACTGAATTTCAGTGCAATCGGGAGGTTTTGTTTCTCTCCCAAACGAGAAAGCTAGCCGCGCACTTGCTGCCCTCTGTGCGCTGCGCGAGTAAGCCAGCCGCGTATTCAGCTACCCGTCCTGTCGGTGCATGCGTGTCTCTGCACCTCCATCCTCCACAGCTCCTCTGAGTCTCAGTGTCCTTTTCTCTTTCCTTCTAGTTGTAGAATTCCCACTCAGCCAGCTTTCTGGTGGTTCTGGACGATGCCTGCTCTGTCTTTCAGAGAACTTTAATGGAGAGATCAACAATACAGTCATGGTAGGGAACTTTAACACCCTGCTTATTTCACTGATAGATCTCCCAGATAAAACGTAACAAGAAAACAGAGACTCTAATGGACACACTGGATCAGATGGATTTAATTGACATTTATAGAACATTTTACCCCAAAGCAGCAGAATATACATTCTTCTCAAGTGCACATGGATCATTCACAAAAATAGACCACTTCTCAGATCAAAGTGGAATGAAATTAGAAATCAACTACAGTAAAAACACCCAAAAACATTCAAACACATGGAAGCTAAATAGCATGTTATTAAACAAAGAAGAGTTACCAATAAGATCAAGAAAGAAATAAAAAACTTCCTGGAAACAGAGGAGATCCAAGATGGCGGCATAGGTAAACATCTAAGCTGCTGCTGTGCACAACAATTTCAAAACTACAACTAAAAGACAAAATGTCTATCACCCAGAACCACGGGAAAGCTGACTGAGTGGAAGTTCTACAACTAGAAGGAAAGAGAAAAGAGCATTCAGGGCACAAGCACTGAAAAACTGAGGTATGGGGGTGGGAGGTCGTGCGCGAGATACGGGCTGGCAGCGGATCTGGATCCCAGCTGGCGGCAGGCATTGCTTTCTTCAACCCGAAGAGATACAAGCTCCCAATCTTTCTGAAATCCAGTTTCTGTGGAGAAGCTGGACTGTCTGCCATAGGTTTGGAAAGCGAGGGTGGCTTGCTTGCAGAGCTGCACGCAAGAATAATTGTTTGCTATGCTGGGGCGCAAGAAGCAGGGACGCGGTTGGAGAGGCAGAGACGGCTCACTGCCAACTATCGCTGTTTGTCACACCCTAGCCTAGTGATGCCCTGAGACTCCGTCTGTAACACAATCTACAAACACACTCAAGCTCCAAGCAGCGGCTTTTGCATATGAATGGCCTTCTCTATTGCAGTTTAACCTAGCAAACTTGCAACCAGATGTAGACAGCTCCAAAACCTCCAAGCTCCAAGCAGAGAGGAGAGGACTGTGGTTCTCACTGTAGCTCCTGCAGGGTGGCCTCAGACAGTAGCTGAACTGCATCCCATTGGAGATCCAGAAGCCAGTGTACCTAGTGGTCAGTGTGAGACACAGATTTCAACTTCTCACATCCATAACTGACACATTCAAGAGGCAGGCTCAGTGAGCACCAAAGCCCCACTGAAACAAGGCCTGCACCATAAGCGTGTCTCCAGTGCAGCAGTTCTTCCATTTTAAACACAGTGGGTCCCCACAGCCAATTGACCTAGAGGACAATTCCAGTGTACCAGTATCAATCAAGGCTTAACTACACTAAGACTTTGCACTCAGCCCACAATGGGGTGTACCAAGACCGTCCACCTCAGGTGATTGAGGAGGCTGAGCTACTGGCCCCTGTGGGTCACCTACCACACAAAGCCACTCCATCAACACAGGGAAGCAGCCAAAATGCGGAGACACAGAGGCATGTTGCAAAAGGGGGCAATGGAGGAAAGCAAACTACGGGACAACATGGAGTTTAGGACTACACTTATAAGGTTACTCAAGAATCTCCTAAAAACTGCTGAGAAACTTGATGAGACCTTCAAGGATCTTAATGAGAATGCCCCAAAAATGGAAAAGGACCAGTCAGAAATTAAGAATACACTGTCCGAAATAAAGAATTTACAGAAACTCAACTGTAGATCAACATACCCCAAGAATCGAACCAAAGATCTGAAATACGAAGAAACAAAAAAACACCCAACCAGAAAAACAAAAAGAAAAAAATGATCCAAAAATATGAAGATAACGTAAGGAGCCTCTGGGGCAACTTTACGCATACCAACATCCGAATTTTAGGGGTGCCAGAAGAAGAGAAAGGTTCGATTCCAGTCAAGGGCTTGTACATTAGTTGCGGGCACATCCCCGGTGGGGGTGGGCAGGAGGCAGCTGGTCAATGTTTCTCTCTCATCAATGTTTCTAGCTCTCTATCCCTCTCCCTTCCTCTCTGTAAAAAAATCAATAAAATATATATTTTTTAAATTATGAACAACAAAAAGACATCAAATACATACCTACCAACAAGTGAATCTAAAAATCAAGTGAGATCCTAGGAGCGCCAATGGTCAAAATGATATTCAATCCCTTTGTCACTTCTGACCGGAGCAAGAACCGTAAAAGGCATTTCAATGCACCTTCCCACATTCGAAGGAAGATTATGTCGTCACCTCTTTCCAAAGAGCTGAGACAGAAGTACAATGTTCGGTCCATGCCCATCCGAAAGGATGATGAAGTTCAGGTTGTTCGAGGACATTACAAAGGACAGCAAATTGGCAACGTAGTCCCGGTTTACAGGAAGAAATATGTCATCTACACTGAACGAGTGCAGCGGGAGAAAGCTAATGGCACAACTGTGCACGTGGGCATTCACCCCAGCAAGGTGGTCATCACTAGACTAAAGCTGGACAAAGACCGCAAAAAGATCCTTGAACGTAAAGCCAAATCTCGCCAAGGAGGAAAGGAAAAGGGAAAATACAAGGAAGAAACACTTGAGAAGATGCAGGAATAAAGTAATCTTATGTACAGCTTTCATTAAAAACTTAAAACGAAAAAAAATAATAATAATAAAAAAATAAAAATCAAATGAATAACAAGTCTGAAGAACAAAATGGACTGGTGAATATAATGGAATCAGGGTCACAGAAAGGGAGTGAACTGACAATTCTCAGGGGGATAGGGGACTGAGGGGTGTGGGAAGAGATGGGACCAAAGTCTTACACCTGTGGGTGAAGACAGTGGCGGGGGGGAAGGGCATGGGGTGGGTTGGAGGGGAGCTATGAAGGGCGGGGGGGGAGGAAGAGGAACACCTGTAATAATCTGAACAATAAAAATATATTTAAAAGAAGGTAAAAAAAAGGACACGGTCCTGCAGGAGAACCTCAAAGATATGCTGCAGTGAGGGCGCGCCTGGCCCCTCCCTCTGGTCCCGCCCTCCTGTTCTCAGCGAACACAGGGCATGCATCAGCGGGAGCCGCCCCCCAATCGCGCATGGGGGGCTGGGGGCTGCTATGAGCTACTGATTCCTGGGAAAGGTACAATACTGAGACTGGCGGCAGCTGGTGGGACTCTGCTGTTAAGCAGCACAGCTTTGTACAGAAACGCCCCGCTGCTGAGACAGAGCCACCTTGCAGTGCACGCGCCTGCGCGTGTGCATGTGTGCGCGCATGTGCGTGCGCATTCTCCACCGCCAGCACAGACCGCCGGGCGAGCTGCAGGGTTTCCGTGCCTCTAACCCGAGCCAGGCCTCGCGGTAGCGTGTAAGGCGACCCAGTGCTCAGACGCAGGCCAGGGCGGCCCGCCCTGGGGTCTCGGTGCCCCTCCCAGAGGGAACACGTTGCTTTTTTTGTATTTTTTTACATTTTTTTTTTCTTTTGTTGATTAAGGTATCCGGTATTTGTCCTCATCCCCCCATTCCCATCCCAAACCCCTCCCCACGCATGCCCCCTCCCCCCTGTTGTCTGTGACCACTGGTTAGACTCATATGCATGCACACAAGTCCTTTGGTTGATCTTTACCTTAGCGCCCCGGTTTTTAACAATTTGTCCCGCGTCCCGCGGCGTTTTAAAACAGTCCCCGCGTCGTTAAAAATCGGGATGTCTGGTCACCTTACCTCCACCCTCCCTACCTTCCCTCTGAGGTTTGACAGTCTGATCGGTGCTTCCCTGTCTCCGGGTCTGTTTTTGTTCATCAGTTTATGTGCCGTGTGCCAGAGCCCTGCGGGCTATGAGATGGAGCCCAGGGCCCAGCCTTTGGGGTGGGGTGGGCTTCAGGCATGTCGGGCCTTAATGAAGGGGGGAGGGGAAAGAGAAGAGGGGAGCGCTGTCCACACAGTGCTTAGTGCTGCTCATTCTTCCCTACCGCCCCCCCCCTACTCGCTCTCCCCCACCCCCGCAAAGACACACCCGCCAGCCTTGCAGGTGGCTGCTCCCCTGCATCGCCTCCTGCCTGCAGGTGACCGCTGGGGCGCAGCCCTGGCTTCCTGTCTGTGGGCTTCTGGGAGCTGCAGGGTTAGCACAGCACGGCGGCCTGTGCAACACAGACACTGACCTTCAAGGAAGCCCTGACCCCGCATCAACCTGGTTCCTGTCGACTGCCACCACCCAAGTGCCTCTTACAGCCAGTCCCTTCCCAGGCCGCCCTCCATCCGGGTCCTGACCAGACTCTGCCTCTAGAATTCCACGCAACACGTGCCTCCAGCTTGCAGGAGGGACAGCTGTACAGTGCATTGTATTCCACAGCCCGCAGATCACTCCGCTGCCTGAGTCACCTTGTCACCGGGTTCAGCGAGGAGACGCATAGCGTGAAATTCCTCGGTGTGTGCTGAGGGTCGGCTCTGGTTCCAAGGAAGTTGCTGTTTGGGTGCGGCCCCCTGCAGAGCCGAGTGGCCCAGGACAGGCCCACTGGTGCAACCATTATGGAAAACTGTCTGTTTCTGTTTCTGTCTCTGCAGGTGAAGAGTCAGAGCCGTGTGGGCGGATCCATTCACCCTTAGGCTCCAAGATGTCTCTCAGAGGCACCTGCCACAGTAAGTTTCCTTCTGCGTCCTGTGCACAAATCCGTGCCCCAGGCCTCTAGTAAATATATATTAAAATTTTCATAACCAAATGAACATGGGAAAAGAAGGTTTTGCTATTGCTGGACTTTTCAGAGCCTTTAATGTGGTGATGTGTGTTGTAAGGCTTCCATAGGAATGAGCAAGCCCAATGGTCTTCCCAAATGTAACTGACCACAAGGAGCATCTCACGGGACTGGGGCGGCGCAGAACACGCTCCCTGGCATTCACTGTCCTAAGGAAACCCTCCCTGGTGCATCCCCACGGGGAGGCCTCATCTCCTAATCCATTTTATCTGATGAAGCATGCCCTCCCATCCCTTCTCCTGGGTGAGTTGGGACTGAGACTGTGTGGAATCAGGGACCCCATCTTCTCCCCACTTATCTACCTGCCATCATTCCCCTCCCAGGTTCACCCCACTCACCACTGTCTATTCAAATTCCTACCACTGGGTACATGTCCCGCTGCTTGGAGTTGCGGTCTCTCTTCCAAATGGCTGAAACCCTAATTATTAAATCTTTGAACATCAAGGGGCTGTAGCAGTAGGGGGTAGGGGACGCTGGCATAGCCTGTCTGGGTGGGATCACCAGGCCCATGTCCCAGGGGAAAGAGCTGGCAATGGGATTACTATGCAAAGGGGTGCTTGGGGAGGTAGGGATGCCCAGTCTGGCTGCTGGCCACCTGGGGTACCCAAGGAGGACTCAGATCAAGAGCTAAGAAGATCATTGCTAATACACAATACGAACTCAATGCATTCTGGTTACTGTTGTCACCTCGGCCATGGTGCCTCATCGGGAAATCCAAGTCCAAGCCCCACTCGGGGGCATGGCAGAGCCCTCGGACATCTGCCCACAGAGAGCTTGAGGGGGTCATGTCCTCGACCCTATGAGCTACTAGGAGTGGAGATGGGAAGAATGCGGAGGGCTTTCCGGAACCTTCTGGGGTCAAGCCAGGCCCTTCAGAGCCCTGCCCATCTGCACTCGTAGAGTCCCCCACAGCCCTCTGCATGCCCACGTCTGGAGGGCTCCAGGGCTGTGGTGGCACTCCTTGGAGGGGGGGAGGGGGGCCCAGGTGGACAGAGCCCTAGGCCCTGCACCCCCCATGGCTTCAGCCAGAGCAGTTCTGCTCCCATCTGCCTGCAGGTGGGGGTCCGCTCAGGTTTCATCGGCAGCCGGTCCCAGGCAATGGCAGGCCCGCTGCTGGGGGCTTTGGGACTACCCTTTCCTCCGTCATCTCTCTCCGTTTCTGCCCAGCTCTTCCCACGTTGTCTGAGCCAACGCCTTCCCTGTTCTCCGGACTTGTACACGCAGTGCTCACCGTGCACCCTTCCGGCTCCCCCGCCCAACACCTCATTGATTGCTGCGTCGCCCAGTTCCTCCCAGCATTCCAGTTCTTGGCTACCTGGGACCCTGCTGGTCACTTCAACGTTGTCATGACTCTGAGCCCCCAGGGGTCACCTCTGGCCATCTGGGCTCGGACCATTCATTCACGGCCCCTCTGCACCCGCCCCCAGGGCTCCAACGTGGCCCCTGGCCTTCTCACTCACTCACTCAGACCCCCTCATCCTCACTGCTTTAAGGGGCAGCTTCCACCGCCCTATCCCCCACCCCCACCCCAGCTTCTGCCTGAGTTTCTGGTTCCTCCCTTGGCCTGTCTCCCCTGAGAAGCCCCCACCCTCACGTGAGTTCTGTCCCAGACAAAAGTCTTCGTCTTCCCCTCCAGGCCACTGTTGCTTGACTGTGCTGCCCTGGTTTGGGACACCAGACATCTCAGTCTCTCGGGCCAGAAACCTGGGGGTGGCCCTCAATTCTCCTCCAACACACCCTGCCCGGCCAACTGCCCGAGGAAATCCTGGGGTTTCCGAATTGGGTCAGCAGGTTGGCATTTCTGACTTCGCCCCAGTCCGGGCCCTCTCTTCAGACCCAACCTGGAAATCACTGCCTCAGTACGTGCTTACTGAACAATGGACAAGCGAATGATTCAAGATGCCGCTGACAGCCTCGCACATTTCTGGAACGGACGCAGAGCAGGCTCTTTCACGCCTCCCTGCCAGACCTAGGCCTGCTCTGGGAATTTAGACACCGAATGGGAATTGCTTTACCTTTCTTAGCTCACAGATGATCCTGCTCGGTACACACGAAGCTACCAAGATCTCCCGTTCAAACCTGGAAGACTCGGGGCAGGGCTCTCTGAGTATCCACAGCCCGACCCCCTGCCCATTGGGAGGGGCAAAGGGAAAGGTCCCCAGAAGGAAAAACAAGCACCAATGATTAGAGTCAGAGCTTAGGGGATAGGGACAAGAAAGGGGCAGCTCCCACACTATCCACAGGCTGGCAGCAACCACAGCCTGGCAGAATGGGTAGGTGGGCTTGGGTCTCCCTTACGACGTGGAAGGCAGTGCTTGGGTTCAAGTACAACCTGGCACTGACACGGGTTGTGGAACCTGAAGCCAGCTACCAAACATCCAGAAACCTCGATGTGCCCATCTGTAAAATGGAAACAGTCATGCCAGCCTCTCCATTTGATGCCAGGCTTGACGTACCGCAGAAAGAGTGGAGCTGGCTGCCAGGCACTGCGAGGTGGCATGTGGCAGGTTCTCAGCGGTGCCAGCCTTTTGTCAGACCTCAGCACGGGCACAGGATGGGATATAAAGAGGTCCCCAGCTGGCCCTCTAGGATTTGCCCTGGGAATCTACCCCAACACCGGACGCAGACACTCAGATGCAGAATGGGGCTGACCAGGTCACACAACACGTTTGTGGCTAACACTCGGAAGCGCCCAGCTTGATGCCACATGGAGCCCACTGTTCTCAAGGAAGGAACGGCCCTCTTTTGAAACTGAAACTGTTCATCCTAGAAGAAAGCTGTCACAACCATCCCCTCAGCCTCACGTGGAGGCAGTGGACAGTCAGACCAGCAAACCTTTCCCCTCCTGCCTGCTGCAGTCTGACCCGCTCCGGGTCCCAAGGCCCCGGGAGACTCTGAACATCTGCAGCGGGGACTGAGGAGTTCCTTTTCTGGGGATTCTCTGGAGTTGTTTTGTTTGTTTATTAGAAATACCAGCTCACAAGAGTCCATAGTTAAATATTCAGGAGTTTCCTGAGCTGTTGTTAAACCATTGGTGTCAGCATCAAGTCCACTATGGTGGGAGTATTTACACCCGGGGTATTGACAAACACTACAAATCAGGGATTTCTTTTCCTTCCTTTTTTTTTTTTTTTTTTTTTTCTGAAAGGTGCACAAGTCATCGGTGTACTGAACAAACTAAACTCTCCGCTTCCTTGCTCAGCATTCCATTATGAGATCCACCCATTCCACTGAACATAACTGTGGACCATTTACTCTCATCACCATGTAGTATTCCATTGTGTGAGTATCCCACAAATCACGTATCCATTCTACCTTAATGGGGATTTGAAGTCTTCGGTTTGGAGCTGCGAATGGGTAGTGCCGCTATGTGTGTTCTAGGTCATGTTGTAGAATGTTCTATTGCTGTGCAATAGAACTTTCTACGATAATGAAAATGTTCTGTGTCTTCACTGTCCAATATGATAGCCCCCCCGCCAGCATGTGTATCTACTGCGCACTTGATATGTGGCCAGTGCAACTGAATTTAAAATTTTAATTAACGTTACTAGCTACATGTGGCTAGTGGCTGCCATATTGAACTGCACAGTTTTAGGATACGGCTTCTGGTGAATAGATGGGTGCATTTCTGTTGGAGAATGCATTCCATTGAGGAGCACAATTTCTGTGTGTGTGTGTGTGTGTGTGTGTGTGTGTGTGTGTGTTTTGTTTTAATAGCTAGAGTTAAACAGTTTTCCAGAGTAACTGTGCCATGTCTGAGAGCTCTAGTTGCTCTATATTCTGCCAGCACTTGGTATTGTCTGGATTTTTTCATTTTAGCCATTCTGCTGGGTGGTAGAGATATCACCCTGTGGCTCTCATTTGAATTCCCCTGGAGATTAAATACAGGTTAGCACCTTGGCTATCCCCTTTTGTGAAGCGATTGTTTGGCTCTCTTGACCATTTTTCTATTAGATCTGATTATTGCCGATCTATAGGAATTCTTTCTATATTCTGAATGCCAGACCTCTGTTGGATGCATTACTGTGGAAAATGTCTCCCTCTTTTTGGATTGCCTTTTCACTCTCATAATGGTATCTGTGTATTAACAGATGTTCGTCAGTTTTTAGATATAACATTTATCAAGTGTTATGTGTAATTATTTACTTTATTCATGTTTAACCTTAAACCTGACAGGCAATAATACAGAAGATAGGACTATGGAACATTCTCTTGGAGTTCCTAAGAACGAGGGCTTTACTACTTCTCCTCCAAGATTAAAACTTTATAACGATGATAGCCAAGCTGGGCACCTTTTCATTGGAATGGCAGCCTTGTTAAAGAGGTCTTATCTATTTTTGAAATTTCCGGTTCTAGGTTAAATGAGATTTAAAGGATTGCTCATAAAACACTTTAAACATTTACCAAAATCTCATGTTTTTTTTTCAAGTCAGAAAGGTACCTCCCACGCTTTAAATTATCAAAAATGATCTCAATAGTTTAAGGACTCTCACAGTATATATGGCTATAAGAGCCCAGCATGTCACCGACAGACACTCTCTAATACACAATGAAAATAGTAGCTCTGTGGCATCAGAACTCCTTGTGAAGGAGTAGAGTGATCAGTTGTATCTGCTTGATGCCAGCACACTGCTATTCATACCACAGATAAAACCCAATTACTTAAAACAGCACAACTGTCCAATTCCCAGACGACATGCATTGTAGAGCGGAATTGGTGGATTCAGAAACCTGTGGCGTGTTCTCGGAATTTTTTTCAATTATAAATTACCTTGAGCACTAAATAAAGACACTGCGCTAACTTCTATAACCACCCTAGTGGCTGAACTTCAGTCGCTGGTTTAACAGGACCGGTTTCTGCTCAATCTCAGCACATTCTCTTGCAGTAGGGTATTTTGAAGTGCACAGGAATGAATGAAAGGCCCAGCTCTAGACCCCTGTCTTGTCACAAGAGCGCTGGGGATGGCAAGCTGGTGAAATGTGCCGGAAGAGAAAAAGTATGCGCGATTATTTTCCCGCTGTCTCACACTGGCTTTGATTTAGAGTAGAATGCAAAAACCTGATTTAAAAAGAAAAGGGGGGGGGGGAGGAAAGAACCTGAATGAGGGTCTGTTTCTAAATTTAATCCAGTCGCCAAGCACGATACACTGTCTGCAAAAGACTTTGCAGGGTGGGAAGTATAATACTACAGCAGCAACTCACACCGAAAGACAAGTGATCACGGAGAATGTGAGTCCTCGTGAGAAGACAGCCTGGGCAAACACCGCACATTGCCTGTCGGCTGCCGGAAAGGAACCCTGCAGGGCATCCTCCTTGTCACTTATTTGAAGAAAGGCTGTCCTAGGTCCCCTCCTTGACCATGAGGGCTAGGTTTCAAAATTCATTTCCCACGTCACCCCAAGGCACAGGGTACTCCGTTAACACTGAGTGACGGTGAACGGCGGTAATGGATGGTGCAGCTGCTCTCTTGGGTTTTCCCCAAAGAGCAGACCTATTAGCGCGGTACGGCTAATGGAGAAAAATGGATGGTTGCCCAGAGAAGTGAAGAAGGACCCTTTAGCATCTTGGGATCCCCGAACCAGTTCCAGACGCCTGTGCAGACAGATGCCTTCCTGATAAGCATTCTCCAGTGACCCGGGGAAGGCTGCAGCTGATGGATATATTTACAAAGCCTACCTCCAAACCTGCCGATGGTTCGTGGCTGGTACCTCTGTGTCCTGTTTAAGACACCTGAGGTCATAAAGCTTCACTGTTCTGCCTTTCACACTGAGGTCTCTCGGTATTATGTGCAGCTTTGACTGTTATGTATTGAGCACCTACTGGGTACAGGCATCCTGCTAGCCAGTGTGCCTTCATTCGTTCACAGCAGAGATCGCTGCACCCAGTCTACATGAAGCGACAGAGGTTCCGAAATGTGAATTACTCAGAGGGCACCACCTGCTGGAGGGAGGACTAGGGTTTGAATCCAGGACCATCTGTGTCTTATGTCACCAGAGCCTGAGGTGCAGGTCCGCTCTGATGGGGAGCTCGGGGTCTCCCCAAAGGAAGGTGGCCGAGGAGGGACCCTCCTCTCCAGGGGACCCTGGGGCTATCCACCTTCTCAGGATACGGATGTTGGTGATGAAAAGACCTGGACTGAGGCTGGTTTGGGTTCCAAGACAACTCAGGGCTCCTAAGGCATCTAGGAGGTTTAGGCAGTAAAGGGCTCATTCCCAAACACCCCGGAATGTTTTCAGGAATCCACAGTCCGTGCTTTACACACTGAGGAACTGTTCCATGCTCCCACCATGCCACACCCTTTCCCAGGAGTCCCTCCCCACCTCTGGGCCTTTGTCCCAATCTCCTCCCCCTGCCCAGAATGCCTCCCGGCTTCACTTCCTCTGGGAAGCCTTCCCTGACCAGATCCAACCCCCCAGCACCGCATGTCTGGGGCAGTTGTGGCCCACAGCCAAGGCCTGTCTGACTGCCCCGGAGTCCCCAGGTTAGGTGTCACCGCTGAGGCAGAAGGCCATGGTTGGAGGCCAGCAAAGCTGGTCCTCTTTCTCCATCTTCCTGCGCACCCCCCAGCCTTCCCAAGGCCTTGGTGAAGACCTGATGACCTATAACCTTGTGTCTCTGGGGAGGAGAGTCCTTGTCTAGCACTGAGTCTTGGGTTCACTCACTCACTGTGTGACCCTGGGCAAGCCCACTGCCCTCACTGGGCTTCCCTTTTCCTATCCCTGCATTAATTGAGCTCCTAGGCCAGTGTTCAGCAAACTCATCAGTCAACAGAGCCAAATATCAACAGTCCGACGATTAAAATTTCTTTGGAGAGCCACATTTTTTAAACTTAAACTTCTCCTAATGCCACTTCTTCAAAATAGACTCGCCCAGGCCGTGGTATTTTGTGGAAGAGCCACACTCAAGGGGCCCAAGAGCTGCATGTGGCTCGTGAGCCACAGTTTGCCGACCACGGTCCTAGGCCAGAGACTTCAGAGGAGCGGAGGGGAGGTCAGATTGTGCTACCAAAGGCTCCTTCGGGACTCCGCGCCCTTCCGCCCTGGAAAAGCAGCCAGGAGAGAGTGCCTGGTCCTGACCTCAGCCTCCTCCGCTGAGCCAGGGATGCGTGCCTCCCAGGGCAGCGGGATGGAGAGGGAAAGGGTGTGGCCGGGTCTGTGCCCCGGCTCAGGATCCTCTCTCTTTGCTCCCAATAGCTTGGCCCAACTATACCATCCACTTCTACGCCGGACTACGGCACATGGAGGATAGCAGTGTGTCTCTGTCTCCTATAATGTTGGCAAGTGTAGTCATAGGATTTATCATCACCATCTCCTGCTTCTTCATCATCCTGGTCAGCGTGTATCCCAAGAAGCCCTGGGACCCTCCCCGCCACTACCACCACTACCTTGGAGACCCCCAGGATGACCAAGGTGAGCTGCTGCCCTTCTCAGGGCCTGCCCTCCCGTCCAATTGCGATTGCAACCCAGGACGCATCGAGGAGGCGGCTGCTCTGCCGTGGGGTCGGGGAGGGGGTGGGGGGGGCGCTCAGGAAAGGCATCCTGAGGTCTTGTGTGATCGGGAGGAGCTCACAGATGCTCACCATGATGTCCTCAAAGGCGAGAGGAGCCTGGCTGTCTACCCGGGGTGGGGCTGCCAGTCAGAGGGAAGACAGATGGCTATTCCCCAGCCCTGCCCACTGTCGGTCGAGGCTGTACTGACAGCGGGTCCAGATGGTGCCAGGATGGAGGGGTGGATGGAGAAAGGCCCAGGTGAGTGGGGTGGGAGGGTCATCTGGTAGGGGGATGACAAGGTGAATAGGTGCGGGGAGGTGTGGGGTGAGTGAGTGGATGGATCAATGGATTGTTGGAGAAAGGGATGAGGGCTGGGAAGAGGGATGGAGAGCTGAATGGGAGGATGGAAGAATGAGTGAATGGAGAGGTAGATGACTGGATGGATGGGGGTATAGGTGTGGGATGTATGAGTGGGTGGGATGTGTAAGTGGATGGGTGGGTGGATGGGTGGAAAGATGGATAGGAGGATAGGGGAGTGAATAGGTGGGGTGTCGGGTGGGGTGAGTAGGTACATGAATAAGTGAATGGATAAATGCAGGGGCTGAATGACGAGTGAATGAATGACGAGCCTGCAAAGTGCAAGTGGAACTGACCTGAGACCTTCCCCGTCACAGGGTCACCTGCACAGCAGAGCTGGGGGGGGAACTCTTGGGCTGCCCAGTCCCGAAATGTCCACCTGCCTAGTGTGCCCCAACCTGTTACAGAATGCAGCCCCCCCACTCTCTCCTTCTCAGAAGGGGCCAGGGGTTTAAAAGCGGAGGAAGGATCCCCAAGGTATTTAATTCTCAGGCGACCTTCAAGGGCAGGAAGCAGCCTGCCCTGAGGCCTGCAGGGCTTCTCCTCAGACAGGGAAAAGCGGGGGGGCTGACACACACGACACCCCCCTCCGTGGCGCCAGCCTGAGGCCCAGGCTGAATGTCTGTTCCCGCAGACTCCCAGGAGCGCCCCCGCTGCAGGGGCGGGGTGCACTGCACCTGCGGCCTCAGGGGAGACCGGCTCGCAGCCTCAGGCTGCTTTCACCAGGATGCTCCACCAAGGTAGGAGGCCTCCTGGGGGGGAGGGCGTGAGAGGGAGGGCTCTGGGCACAGTGCCCCACCGTGGAAAATAGCCTCCCCAAAGGGGCAGAGATGCAGAAGCCATCTGCTCAGAGGGTGTGACCATCTCTCACCCTCCTGGCCAAGCGGGTCCCGGGGAGGCAGGGTCTGACTCGGATGCCACCAGGAGACACTCAAGAGGGAAGAGAAAAGCTCAGCCCCTTCAGGCAGGGGCGAAGGGATGGGCTGGAGGGTCCGGGACCCAGCCTCTCGTCTGTGCCCCCAAAGTCCAAAGCCCATCCATTGGGACGGGGGTCAGTGCATCCAAATTGCACTCGGGCCATGGGGTGTCCCTGTCCCATTGGCGAAGTCTCCTCTGGGCCACTGGGTCCTCTCCGGCAGGTCACCCTCCGGCTCCTACTTGATGCTTCACTTTCCTCTGGGGGCCTTCAGGCGCTTCCACCTCCCTTCTCCCTCTGCTCCCAGGTGCGGGGAGGGGCAGTGCACATGCCCTCCCGCCAGAGGGCACTGTTCAGCCCCCCACACATCAGGCTCATAGGGGCACAGGGGCTGGAAGGCCACTTTGAGAGACTTCAGATCAGGGTGCCTGAGGCTGCTGCACGCAGCTCCGCCCACACTCCGGTCCCCAACATCCTGCTGCTCTGAGCCGCCTGTGCTCGGAGACCTGCTCGCAGAGTTCACACAGAACACGCGGAGGAGTCAGGACCGGAATCTCGGTCTCTGTGGTTCTGGGGGTGGAGGGGTGTCCCTGGAGCCGCCATGACAAAGGCCTGGCTGGTCCGAGCCAGGCAGCTTGTCGCTGAGCACAGGCTCCCAGCTCTGAGGAAAGGCCCTGAGAGAGCCCTTCCTTCTCTCGTAGCTACGAAGAGTGCACGGGGCCCGGGGCCACTCAGCTGTACCTCCCCACGGAGGCGCCGCCGCCCTACTCGCCGACGGACAGCGACAGCGACCTCCACACCGTCTCCGTGGATGCCCTGCCCCCTTACGAGGCTGTGTGGGCGCCTTGCCCTCCACTGAGCTGGCTGCCACTGCAGGGCCCAGAGCCGGAGCCAAGCAGCCCCCAAGGCCCACCGACCCCAAAAGGAAGCCGGGCTTGCAGCCCAGAGATGATTGTGTGAACGCCAGCAGGCCCTGCCGGGCCCTAGGGGCTGAGGAAGACCTTTCGGGAACACAAGGGAGCGCGTGCACACACACATACACACTCATACAGACACAAACGCGTGCACACACAGAGAAACACACGCGCACACACACATATATATACACACACAGACACAAACGCATGCACACACACAGAATCACACGCACACACACAAACGCATGCACACATAAACACAAACTCATGCACACATAGACATACACACACGAACTCATGCACACACGAACACATGCACACGCAAGCACACACACACACTCTTGTGCTTACACAGCACTCCTACATGCACACATATAATACAATTTATACACACACAGAGAAACATATACACTCTGAATACCCATGTGTACATACACATCCAAACATGCCTCGCACGTGTGAAGACACATACACAGTTGCCCCCCCCTCACACGCACCATGCGAACTCATCTGTGAAGGTTCCATTCAAAAGGAAGCTCTCCCTACCTCCCGCCCCTCCGCAGCCTGCCGGCCATGGCTTACAGACAGCATGGGAGGAGAGAGGTGCAGAAGGGCCCAAGGCCTGCTCCCGCCTCTCCCGGGCCTGTCTGCCCCTGCCCTCGCCTGGCAGGCGGCGCCCACACTCTGATTCTGTCTCTAGAAACAGCCTGACCATCGCCGGTCAGCTGTCTGCCCCACCCCCTCCAAGGGCTGCCTGTCCCCCAGCTGGTGGGGCAGGTCTCAGTGGGACTCAGCTGCCCGCTGACCCTCTCTCTACCAAGCCCAGGGCGGCAGAGCCACATCACCGTCTGCCACTTACGAGGCGCGGACACAGGCCTGCGGGGCTCAGGCACACACACCCCAGAGGCCCTTCCAGCCCTCTCTGCCCTCACCTCATCTGGGCGGTGCCAGCCCAGTTATCTGCAAAGCCCCCGCCCTGACCCACAGGGATGAGCAGGGCTCCTGGGGAGGGGGTGCCATGGAGGTGAGGGGTCCAGCCACTTCCCAGGACTGAGCGTCTTCAAGGAACATAAGGGCTCTGAGACGCAGGGGCAGCCCCTCACCAGACGGCCTGAGCTTACATGGGCTGGAGCCAGGCCCCAGCAGCTGGTACTGCCCTCTGGGGTGGCTGCTCCTTTGGGAATCGAGCTGGCATGTTCTGGTACTGCCCTCTGGGGAGTTTGCAGAGACAGTATAGGGCAATGCGAGCCCCCTCACGCCGCCGCGGGGACCAGTGGTTGAATCTCAGCCTCGACGCCGGGCGCCGCAGAAGGATGTGCGTGGGGTAGAGAGGCCCCCGATCTTGGCGCGTGAGGCCCAGCAGTTTCCATCAGAGACCTGGCAGGTAGCAGAGCGGACTCCCGCACGCCCAGCCCGCCAGAGGGGGGGCAGCTGGGAATCTCTGAGGGGGGTCCCACCAGCATCACCAGTGGCAGGGAGCAGAGGCCTCAAGTCCACTCTGCCTCCCTCGCCCATCCTTAAACACCAAACACCCCTCCTCTATCTCCCCACCACCACCCCACCAAGGGCTAAAACAACTCACTACCCCCTTTCTTAAGAAGAGGGCTAGCAAGAATGGCGACCGTGCGTTCTATTTTGTATAGAAACTTGTATTTTTGTCCGTGCAGGACTGAAAGGAATCCGGTCAAAGGTTCGGCGGCACCCGGAGCTCCTGGCTCCGCGTGGAGTAGGGACCTTGTTTACAAGCAGTTCTGTCACTTGTGGTTTACTTGTACTGTGTTTTTTTGTTTTGTTTTGTTTTTTCAAGCAAAAAATATATATCTGTCCGCTGTACTGTATAGCTTTATATGCACTCCAGGGGTGAAACCCATCCCGCTTCTGCTACCCTTAAAAGTGCTTTGGGGGGAGGCGGGGGTACCCCCTATGTACTCATCAATGTTGGAAGGTGAACAGCTTTTCTTGCTCCTGGATTAAGCGCTATTAAAGCTATGTAAGTGGATCTTTTCCGTGTTCGAAATAAATACATCATCTCAATAAAAGCGTTGCAAGAAGTAACTGAGGCAGGGTGAGCTAGAAGAGGTCAATGCAGGGAAGTATATGAATACTTTCCACAAGATTTATTTTTAAATTTCAAAATAAAAAAGGGACATTGTATCTAAGGGGGCCTGCGCCATCTGAAACTTCTAAGGAAAGGAAACAGGAATCAACATCAAACTGAAAATACATTACTTCTCTCACCATGAGCGCCCCCTGAAGCCTTATCATCTTCCTGTTGGACCGAATATTGAGTATGTGGGTAGTCAGTGACTTACAAGAGTCCTGCTTCCATCAGTCCCCCTCCAAGCCCACACTGCCACCTGCTGGCCACCTGCTGCCACTGTCCAAAGCAAATGAACCTACACCTGAACAACGAGCAAATTCCGTCATCCCACGTTCAAACCCACTGTCCACGGGCACTCAGAGTTGTAGACAAAACTTGTCTTCCGCCCTTGGGATGTTTTGTGAGGGTTAACCCATTCAAGAATTCCATTTTCAGGAATAGCCCCTGCCCCCCTCCCCCAGCATCTCTCTCTGGGCACAGCCTGCCACCTAAGCCCCATCTCTGTATGCGATACAATCACTCCCCTGTCCTAAACACCAGTGTGCATGGCTCAGGGGCCCCCTCCGTGTTCTGGGGCCCCTCCTCCTGGGAAGGACTGCAGCAGCCTTCGTGGTAGAGGCCTCACCGCCCTACACTGACACCCCGTCCCAACGACAAACACACTCAGGGTCCCACTGGCGCAGGGGACTGTTGGGCTCAGCCTTTCCTGCCTCCTCTATCCATGACACGCCTGGACCACACAGGGCACCACATTCAGGGTCCTTCTGCAAACAAGGCTGACCTCTCTGCCAGGGGCCTATGGGGGGTGGGGGAGGCCTGAGGAGGGACCCTTGTGCAGGCTGGGTGGCCTCCTCTCGCCACAGTCTTCAGAAAGGGGAGCTGCCACCGATGGCACATGAGGCTGTCACAACAGGCCGGCGTGTGTGGACACGGCACGTCCCACGGTCTTTGGACCGGGCACCCGTAGCTCGCCACACGAGCAGCAGAAATCTCGCGAGAGGAGGAGGAACGAGGATTGGTACAAAGTATGGCCGCCCACGGCTTGCACTGGCCGAGCCCCCTGTACATCCACACGTGGGGGTCCCACACCTGCTCCTGGAGACACCCTGACACACACTGAACGCCGCACCGCTCAGCCCACAGCACCTGCGGGTCTGTGCGCGTCCTTAGATGGCTTTGGTGCGCGCACACACACACACACACACACACACACGTGCCCCTGCACACTCAGAGGTCCCACATACACTCCAAGGCCACCCACTCTCCTCTCAGGTGACTGACCTGATGCCTGACCAGGCTCTGGCGTGAGCAACGGACGGACCCGCAGCGTCGTTGTGGGAGAGTGAGCCTTCCTTCCTGGGCTCTGCTTCGCTAGACCTCACGGCCTGACCTCACGGCCCTGACCTCACGGCCTGACCTCACAGGCCTGACCTCACAGCCTGACCTCACGGGCACGGGCCTGACCTCACTGCCTGACCTCACGGCCTGACCTCACGGGCACGGGCCTGACCTCACGGGCCTGACCTCACGGCCTGACCTCACGGGCCTGACCTCACGGCCTGACCTCACGGCCTGACCTCACGGGCACGGGCCTGACCTCACAGCCTGACCTCATGGGCCTGACCTTACGGGCCTGACCTCACGGCCTGACCTCACGTGGCCCCGCCCCAAGCCCACGTGAACTCTCTCAGGACCAATTGCCTGGCTGGGGGCGGGGCCTGCCTTCTGCCCATTGGCTGCTGGCCGCGGGGTCCATGCCCTGCCGCAAAGCTGGCACCTGAACTGCAGGGTGGAGGGGAGCAGACAGCCCTGGGAATGGGGGCCCTCCACTCCCTGACAGGCTTTGAGCCTGTGAGTCAGTTTCAGGAGGCAGAAACCCAACTTAAGCCAGAAAGGCTGCTGTGGGCTCCTGGGCCTGAATTGTCCACGTGGCCATTCCAGCTTCAGGCGCAGCTGGGCCCCTGGGGCCTCAGAGCACGGGCAGGTGCATTGGCTCTCGATCCTGCTGCCTGCCCTGCCTTCATTCTCACACGGGAGCAATGGCCGTGGACACCATAGGCTGCTGGCTGCCCCTCATCACTGATGTTTCTCTCTCTCCCTCTTCCTTCCTCTCTCTGGAATAAATTAAAAACACCTCATATGCTCAGTTCCCTCCAGGGGCTCCCAAGGCCACACCAGGCCCCAAACTCAGCCCCTCACCATCCTTCCGAGCTCATCCGTGCCCCTTCCCCCCGGCCCACCTGGCTTCTTCCGGACCCTGAACAAGCTCAGCCACCCCGACCTGGCAGCCTCTGTGTTGTGGAATCTAACCCTGGATTCAAAATAAGACCACCGGAGGCTGATGATTTATAAAAAAAAAAAAAAAAAAAAAAAAAAAAAAAAAAAAAAAAAGGCAAGAATTTATTGAAATATCTGGCCAGAGCAGCTGCCAAGAGCACCACACGCAGGCGGACTCCAAACGACTGCGCTGCTTTAGGGGCAGGTAGTTATTTTTAAAGGTTCTGAGGAGGAAAACCCCCATCTGTAACAAACTGTTTGGAATTTTTTGCTGTTCTTTCTGTTGCTTTCTAGTTTGCTTTAGCCCATTTGAAGAATGATGAAGATAACCTTAGCTGTCTGACCTTGTAGGCCAGAGACCAGATATGCCCACAATCTCAATACCATGCCAGGTGTACTTTTTTTTAAATTGGATAGAACAGCATTGTTTTTCAAAGCCAGCATCGAGATAACCACTAAGTGCACATAGGGCTGGCTCTTTAATAAAAAAAATTTTTTAAAAAGGAAGTTCTGCCTGTAACCTTGCTTGGAATTTTAATTCATCCTATTTCACTCTGCCCAGGCTCCCTCTGCCCCTCCCACTCCACACCCCAGCCCCTCTCTTTCTTGTTCCTCACCTCTCACCTTGAAAAAGATTCTTTTCCTCACCTCTCACCTTGAAAAAGATTCTTTCCAAAAATCGGTACTTTTTTAAAACGCCACAGGACATGGGACAAATTGTTAAAAATCGGGACTGTCCCGCCAAAAGTGGGACGTCTGGTCACCTTACCTTAAATGTCCCTTCTGGGAGTTACCTTCCTGACCACCAATCTCTCCATCACGTCAACTTCAGTGAATTTCCTGCAAAAGCTATTTTAAATGTATTCACTCATTTTCCACGTTCCCCCACTAAAATGTAAGCTCCATGAGATATTTTGTCTTGTTCACCACTGTTTCCCAGGACCCATCAAATAAAACCATCAAAGGAAAATACAGATGAGTGACAGCAAAAGTAAAAACTCACTACAATGTCCACCGTTGAAGATACCCAATATTATGGTGTTGGTGCCATTCCTTCAGCCTTTTTTCCCTACATGTACGTACATTTAAAATGTGGAATTTTAACATTTATAGTGTTGCATTCTGCTTTTGTTCCTCGTGGAGATATTTTTAACTAATTTTAGACCTAGAGAAAAAAAAATTCAAAATAGTACAAAGAATTCCCTTTCATTCCTTCCCCTGCAACTAATGATCTCCCATAATCATAGTATTGTTTTCTGTCCCAGCCAGTGTGGTTGCTGTGAAACTGTTACAGCTTGACAGTGTGTCTGCATCCCATTCTCCATCCCCGCTACATCATTTGGGGGAGGGGATAAGGTGAAACCGTTACTGGGGCTCTAGGAGTCAGCGTCATGCAAAAGATACACAAAAAAGTTCCATTCCCTTCTCAGCCCTGCAATCCGTTCCCTTCTCTCTACTCTGCAGTTCCTGGTTATCCTTCCAGCACTCCCCACGAACCTATTTCTTAGGCCTCCTCTTGTTTGCAAAAGGGAAGCATACTCCAGATGCTTTAGACACTGCTTATTTTTCACTTAGTGGTGTGTCCTGGAAACCACATCATCTGTTCACAAAGATCTTCCTCATCCTTTTTTAAAGCTGCATACTACCCCACTGTGTGGCCGTAACCACTCTGGTGTGTATGGGGCTTTAGGTTGCTGCCAATATTTTGCATTTACAATGCCGCAATAAATAACCAGGTGCATATATATTTTCTCGTAGAAAAGCGTGTGTGTGTGTGTGTGTGTGTGTGTGTGTGTGTGTGTATAGATAGGTAAATTAGATCCCAGAATACATTATTGCTGGGTCATAATGCAAATGTATATGCCCTTTGTTAGATATTATCAAATTTCTCTCCAGAGGGTTATACAAATTTATTCACAACACAATTTGAGAGTGCTTGTTTTCCCATGGCCTCTCACCCACAGAACGTGGGGTTTTTTGTCATTGGGTTTTTGGGGTGCATTTGTTTTTTTTGCCAGCTGGTAGATGAAAAATGGAATCTGTTTTAACTTGCCGACTTATTCTGTCCAGACTGCTGTAACAAAATTGCACACGCTGGGTACTTATAAACAACAGAAATTTATTTCCCAGTCCAGGAGGCTGGCAGTCCGAGATGCTCAGACTGAGCTGTGGGGAAAGCTGTGGACCGATCACATACAAACTCTCAAAGATGGTCCTGCACATCAAGGGTCCTGGTAGCAGCGGCTCCCGCTCCCCAGGTTCCTAGTCGATCCTTTGGGCTGCGGCCCCTCCTCCTGCCCACACAGCCCGAGAAGCAGGCCAGACAGCAAGGGCTAAAAGCCAGCGTGCTTGCCCCTTAGCCTCCCTCTGGGACTGGACCCCGGGAACCCCTGCCACCCATTTCGTGCCGGGTGCCACGCCCACAGAGGCCAGAGCAAGGCCTCCCAACCTTCCTTTACACCAACCCCTTCTCAGGAAGGGAGGGGTCCGGGCCTGTCTCCCCCAAGTTAACAACTGCCCCTCCCCGTGTTTGCAGCCATTGCTCTAGGGGCCTCGGCTCCCCTTCACCCACCAGTGCTCCAAGAATCTGCCTGCAAGCCCGGCTTCCCCACCCAGCCGTCTCAGAGAACGTGCCTCCTCCTCTTGTTCCGCGTGACCCAGGAGGCAGCTGTGCTCCAATGCAGTGACAGCTGAGCGAGCTACGCTCTTTTCTGAACAATAAAGATGTTTCACGCTTTACGGCTGAAGGCGTCCCCTTGGATGGGAAGACTTAAGGCCCCTTGCATCTCTCTCCCCCGGGAACAAACTCGGCACTATGGGGTGAGGGAGCCTGGGAAGCCAGGGCTGGAGGCCCCTTGCTCTGCTCGGCACTGGGCAGACCAGCCAGGGGTCCACAGGCCACGTCCCTGAGAGGGAACTGGCCGAGTGACCTTCATCAGCAGGAGACCCAGCACCATTCAGAGCCAACGCAGAGTTCTCCCGGGGATGGGAGCCCAGGTGCCCAGGGTAGATGCCACGGTGGCCTGTGCCGAGGAACCACCGAACGCTGGCCTTGGGCCAAACACTGTACAATTTTGTGAACGTCTAGAAATGCTGACTGTCCTGAGAGCTGCTAAAGTCATAAAAAGAAAGGATGACATTTGCCCCATGCCCTGCTGGCTCTCGCCACGCAGAAGTGAGGGTCACCAGCCGGGGCAGACGGGGCTCTCAGGACGAGGCAGCGTGGGGCAGGGGCACATTTCTGGAATTGCCAAGAGGCTGGATGATGCCGACTCCCTGGCTGAGTCACCTTGGGGAATCCCTTCGCCTCTCTGAGCTTCAACTTCCGACCCTGGGATGTAAGACCACTCTCACCCTCCTGTGTGGCCTGAGGGGTGAGACCAGAAACCATCATGAGGTCAGAGAGCCCTCCCTAAGCGCTTCACTGGAGGGGCCCAGCAAGGCATGACAAATCCATTGGTCCCATTCGTCACCTACCCTCTAGGGCCAGACGCCCGCACAGGAGAAAGACGCCCGCACAGGAGAAAGACCATTAGGAAACCCATCCGGCCAGACTCAAAGCCCTCCCGAGAGATCTTCCATGTCGCTCCTCAGGGCTAACGAGGCAGCCGCGGGCATTTCTCTGGCCCGCTCCCCTGTCCTATGGACCGTGTGTCTGATGCCCTGGAGTTAATATCCGGTCCCGGTTTTGTTCAAAGAGCTCTAACATCTTCTGCATGTCGTGGTCAGCCTCAATCACCTGGAAATCAAACACACGGTCACAGCCGGCACTCACTCCAGCACCCTCCTCCCTTCACAGGTGAAGAGAGAGAGCAGGAGGCACGGGGAGGCAGGGGGAGGCAGGCTAAAGCCAAACAGCGCCCGTTCTAGGTCAATCTAAATTCTCGGCTCTGTTTTCACTTAAGAATCCTCTATAGTTGTCCCTGCAGCGAGCTCATACATGAGTTTCTCCTCATCATTTTATCCCGCCTGAATTCCTACAATGAGGGGAAACTGTACTGTAAAGCCCATTATAGTAATATCTCACTTCCCAGCAACCTCACTGCCAGGGAGAGTCAGGAGTGGAAGTGTCTGAGCAGCCCCAAGGCCAGGCGCAGAGTCTGGGCACGGCCCTCGGCAGGTCCACACTGCACACTCATTCCCAGCGGTCTGAGGCGGCCAGCGCTTGCCTGCAGAGATTCAGCGGCAGCAAATCAAAAGCCAGGGGACGAAGAAGCAAGGAATCATGGATGGGGAAGACACAGCAATCGAGTTAGAAATGGCGAGTGTCGGAAGGGGAAAGAAGGGTTGCCATAAAAACAAAAACAGGAATCGGAGATATTAGCGAGCGGGGGCACACAGAGCTACACACCTCACGCCTCCTAAAGGCGTCACTGTGCGCCTGCCCCGAAGAGCAGATGATGTTCCTTCGGATGCCCTTTGTCACCAAGGAAAGTGCAGTGAGGCTCCGAGCCTGCCATCCACTGGAGAGGGGACTGTTGCATCAGAAAGACCACCATCCCAAATGATTAAGGCCAGAACCTGGGTCTGGAGGCTTTCGCCATCTAGAACATTCCTTCACTGATGATGCTGGATAAGTGAGATGCTACTGTGGCCACTGGTGTAATGATGCTGAGTCAAATCACCCGCCTTCTCTCGGGTCTGCCCAAGGTCCAGAGTGGGGCCTGGGAGAGTGACAGCGACCCGCCCACCCTCCCTGCTTCCTTCCTCCACATTCCCAAGCGCTGCAGGACTCGGCCCTTCCCCAGACTGCAGAGGGGCCGCCATTCTCCGGTCTCTCTTCCCGCCCTATCAGGAGGACTTACCAGAACAGGGGCCACTGCAGGGAAAAGGCTCCCTTTGATGAGCCATTCCTCGTAGAGGTGGTGAATAGCTTCCAGGTACTCCTGCCGAGAGACACACACACACAGGCTGCTGAAACACGAGGAGCGAGCACACCTCTCCCACCAGGACCGGGCAGGTAGGGTGAAGGTCAGGACCACGGGCAGTGGCTTGGACAAAGCCCACGACAACCAGCCTGGCTCAGTGGACAGTGAAAAATGCAGCTGCTCACTCCGCCCCGCCCGGCCCTCCAGTGCACGCTGCTGGGGCTTTCCACATGCCTCCCCTGGGATTCTCTCATTTACTGCCCCCCCCCCTTTTTTTAACAGCAGATTCATCAGTTCCTTTGGGGGCAGGGATCCATGGCCATGCCATGACCAGGCATCCCAGTCCTGAACCTTTCCCTCCCCGCAAGAGGAACGTGACCCTCAGCCTGGGAGCCCCACTCCCTCTGCCTTAACCTGCGGATACTCTAGACGTGGGGCGGGGAACCTTTTTCTGCCAAGGACCATGTGGATATTTATAACATCATGTGGGCCATAAATAATTGTCAACTTAAAAATTAGCCTGCTCTGTTTGGTCAAGCATCTAATTAACTCACCCCTAATGCCCTGCAGGGCACACGATTTCTCGGGCCTTATCCCGGGCCAGACAGTCCCTGCCCCTGGCCTACGCCGTGATGAGGTTTGGGGCTGGGACACCGCACACACAGCGTTCTGCATTGGAAACATCACCCGGCAGCAGTGTGGGGCTGGACTTCAGAGGCAGATGTGGGAGTGGGGGACCAGGGCAAGGAGAGTAGGTACAACAATCCCAACCAGCTGAAACTGGTTTGGCTCAGTGGATAGAGCATCAGCCTGCCGACTGAAGGGTCCCTGATCCAATTCTGGTCAAAGGCGTGTACCTTGGTTGCGGGCACATCCCCAGTAGGGGGTGTGCAGGAGGCAGCTGATGGATGTTCCTCTCTCATCAATGTTTCTAACTCTCTATCCCTTTCCCTTCCTCTCTGTAAAAAATCAACAAAATATATTTATTTTTTTTAAAAAAGAATCCCAACCAGAGTCATCGTGGCCTTGAGCCAGGCCCAGGAGGTGAAGCAGTTAGCACCACCGATGAATGTGGCCTCCGAGCCGGCACAGCACTAAGCACGAGGGATGCAGTAATGAGCAGGAGGGCATGTTCCAGAAGGGACCCAGAGGGCACGGAGGCAAGCTGCCTTCTGGAGGCGGGCCCAACAAGCCCGGTGATGCCTGGGCAGGGGCAGGGGCAGGGAGGGTGCCAACCGCTGAGTCTGGACACAGGAAGTGAAGCAGATCTGGACGTGGGGTCTCCAGCCACAGAGGAAAACAGAGTTCCCCCTCGGATCCGCTCAGTTCCCGTTTCCCTGTCTGTGACAGCAGCACAGGATCGCCCAGCGGGTGGGGCCAGGCCGGGGTGCTGGCGGCTCCCTGTTCACCTCTGATCAGGTTAAAGGGCTCTTACCACCGGGATGACCTTCTCCTCGTCCCTGCATCTCATCTTTAACCTCCGATAGCAGGTCTCAGGAGTGGTCCGGAGGTAAACTGAGAGTTAAAAAGCACACGTGGCTCCAATGACTGTTCATGGCTTGGAAGTGAAAGCCAAGGAGAAGGGGAAGGAAGACGCGTGGGCGAGGCCTGGAGAGAAACACCTGCCAGCATCGCTGAGCAGGAGACACAGACCGAGGTCGCTCACAGCTCCACCACCAACCAGCCGTGTGACCCGACAGGCACCCCGACCCACATCCTGACTTCCATTCCCTTCCAGTGGCCGGAGCCCCACGGGGTCATTGTGAGGCTCAATAAGGCTCCAGACGTAGAGCTTAGCACAGGGCCCAGCCAGCCCCAGTGGGCCTCAGTTAATGTCTAGGTTTTGTCATCTCCTCCCTCCCTTAAAAACTAGGGGGAGGGGAGGGGAGAAAAAAGCAAATCACAGTGGACCCGCCAAGCCACAGGGAGAACAGCTTGAGGAACAAAGGCCAGGTGCTTCTCCAGGAGGGACCAGGAGCCCCCCAATTCCGCCTGCCCTTGGACACAAGGCTGAACTGACATGGCGAAAGAAGAACCAAACAAAGTAAGGGTCCCCCACGCCCCCATCCCCGCCCTCACCCCGCCCCCACGGCTGCTGGCTGGTTGGAAACCTGGACAAGCTCATCCTCACTGGGCCCAGGGGAGGGAGGCCCAGGAAGGAAGTCAGGACGGGTCTGGGCCGACTCACCTATCAAATCCACGGACACATCGATGTTCCTCACGATCCAGTCAAACCATTCCGACAAAATCACGTAGTCCACTTCGGGCATCTTCCCGCTGCAATGAGGGGGAGAGCTCCGCTTACCCACAGGGGAGTTTCTGGGAGGTGCCATTCCCCAAAAGTCGCTGCGATGGCCTTGGTGGAAAGGGCACTGCCAAGGGCACCACAGTGTGACCCACACGACGAGGGGCGTGCGGTGATGACCAGGACCTTCACACCTCCGGCCTCCGCCCGCCCCCTGCTGACGGGTATGGGGTAAGGCAGTCCGAGTCGGGGCACTGCCCGATGAGAAACCCACTTCGAATTCGAGCTCCAAGCAGAAAGAGGCTCCGAAGCCTGTGCCCTGAGAACAGGGACGGCGCTCGGGTTAGGAGGTGGCAGGGCAAGCCAACTTCACCTCTAGAAATTCATTTTGTGGGACTAATCAGGGATGTCCACGTAGCACTGTTTAAAATGATGAAAAACTAAACCTTGGGCCTGGTCGGCGTGGCTCCAGTGATTGAGCACTGACCTTTGAACCAGGAGGTCACGCCTCAGTTCCCTGTCAGGGCACATGCCCGGGTTACAGGTTCGATCCCCGGTGTGGAGGCATGTGGGAGGCAGCCGATCGATGATTCTCTCTCATGATGGATGTTTCTATCTCTAACTCTCCCTTCCTCTCTCCGAAATCAATAAAAACATATTTTTTTTAAAAACTAAACCTTGATACATTTATAGAACAGAAAACCATGCAGTACCTGAAAGATGATGCTGTAAAATAATATTCAATGGCATTCACATGCTCATAACGGCGTGCTCATAATTCAATGAAAACAGCAGGATACAAAACTGTGCATGACTTGAATAAAGTTTTGAATAGAAGCAAAAACAACAAGAAACAAAACTGTACAGGAACCAACCAAATTTTTTAAAGTATTCGTCCACAAAGTTTGAAAAGAGAAACACCAAAATGTTGAGAGTGCTTTTCTCTGACCTGTGGGACGCTGTGAGACTATTTTTTTTCTTTATACTTTGCTGTATTTTCCAAAACTTAACAACAAATTCTCAAATCAAGGGTGGGAGTCGGGGAGACTGCCACATGCTTACAGTGCAAACTGAAAAGGAAGGAAGGGAAGGAGCTGAGGGGAAGGAAGGAGGAGCCGAGGTGCAGAGACCCGGTCCTCCTGGCTCCCGCGGATGTCCTTTGCCGGAGGAAACAAACAGGAAAGCCGAGAATGGCACAGCTGGGAGAACAGACCTGCCAGCTGGGTGACCCCACACGGCCCAGGGGCGGCATTCCCCCTTCTTAACATCTATCTCCGATCCACCCAGAACTGGGCTTGGTGCGAGGAGAGTGGGGGGCCCGAGCTGTGTGCAGTGGGCCCCCAAAGGCATGTCAGCTGTTTTGTCCATTTTGTGGTTTTCCTCCTGGCAACTCTGCCTGCTCCTCCCCTCCTTTTTCTCTCCCCGCCCCCACCCCCAATCTATCTGGACCATGGCGTGCTCAGCGCCCCCCACCACACACATACACACACAGGCCACTGCTTTGTCTCCATGGAACACAGATGACAGAGCCTCCAGAGAAAATCCAAAGGCCCAACTCACCAGCGGTGAGCTGGGGGCTTTCCTGAGCCCTCCCCCAATAGTAAGTGGCGCAATGGAGGTCTTGGGTCCCCTTAACTCTGCCGACTGTATTTGTCGGGCACAGCTTGTTGCCACCTTCGCCCTGAGGCCCAGAGAGCCCCCAGTTTACACAGCACAAGTCACCTTGCATACTTATTTTCTTCTGTTTTCACAAGACCACGTGACGCCATTCACAGATGAGGAAAACAGGCTCAGAGAAGCTCCACTCTGAGCAGGGATCCAGGCCGGGCTCTCTGTGGCCCCAAACCCAGTGGCTCTTTGTTGTACCACTCGCCCTCCCTGGTCGGTCCACTGAGGGACTGGTCTGGGTCATGTCCTCAGGTGTGAGACCCAGACCCCAGTGCCCATCGGAACTACAGGGGGAGGAGTCCAAGCCCCAGGGCCAGTCCGGAGGCAAGACCAGCCTGTTATTCAAACTCAGGGTCATTTTGTTGTTAATCCTCACCCAAGGATTGATTCCCCCCCCCCCAGGGGAGAGTGCGAATGCAGTCCCCCACCACAAATCATGTAGTCGAGTTTCCCGAACTTGGGGAAGTTACAGGGGTCAGCACATCTGGAAGCAATAAATAAGCCTCGCCCTGGGAAACCATCTTCCTGATCATGGTACCTCCAGGTAAGTACCCCCATTGATGTTTTAAAGAGTGGAAGGGTTGGGGAGGGGGAGAAAGAGAGAAACATCCATGTGAGAGACACACACATCTTCCTCTTCAGGATGTCACACAAGCCCTGGGGGCTAACTGCACTGACATTCTGCCCACCCCTAAGGGGACCTCCCTAGGAGAACTGCTCACTTGTTTGAGACCCAACAGGCAAGACTACCCTTCAAGAAATTCTGCTTTGGTGGAGGCGGAACTCCAATCCGTGGGCCTTTCTGGGCACCTGAGCCTTCACCCGCAGGCAGCAAGGCCCAGACCCCCAGGTTCTAAGCCCCGGCTGCAGGAGCTTCTGAGAAAGAGAAGATGGACCCCCACGCCAAGGGCAGCGGCCACGAGCTCCTTGCTTGTGAAAGGGCTGTCCCACACAAGCTCCCAGGTGGAACCAGCACATCCTCCTCCAGGTCCAGGCAGAGGATCCAGCCCAACCCAGTTCTGAGCCACATCGGGACCAGGCTTCCAGGGCGGGGCAGCGGGGGGACAAATGTGTATGAAATTGCCAGGGCAGGAAAGCAGCCCCAAAGATTAAACACTACAGCCTTTCCCTACATCCCCCACAAAGATCATGCACCCTGTGCGGGACTGATTGTTCTGGGCGCTCCAAGTCTCCGCCTCCCTATATCCTCCCACTTCTCCACATGACGCCCCAAAACCCTCCCACCTTTCAGGCTGAGTCAACCATTGGAGTGTTAGCAAATGTGAAGCTGAGGCCGGAAAAAGCAGTCATGCATTTAGCGGTGCTGCTGCCCCCACCACGAGGAATGAATGCTCAGGGTCCTTGCTGGTCCCAGAAGGAGGACGAGAGGCAAGAGAAAGAGAGATGAGTCACCTCCTTACCCTTCCAGGGCTATCCTAGATCAGCCATTCCCCACACATATCAGGGAGTCCAGCCAAGGTCTGGACTGGCCGACCACCCCACATGACTGAGCAGTCAGTGTAGACAGCTGCCTGCCACTGAGGTTTTGTGGTTGTTCGTTACACGGTATTACCATGGCAATAGAGAACTGATACAACGCAGGAGGCACTCAACATCTGTCATTTGGGTAAACAAGTTCCAATTTCATTTTGAACAAATGAATGCAATATCAATAGTGCAAACTATGATACCTTCTATACAGGTTTTCTACAAAAATGTATCTTGCGCTGTGAATCGACCGCTCCATTAACCGTACAGGCGACGTCTAAAATAAAACAAAAAGTGATTCACTAACGCGCGCAAAGAGGAGGAGGTCAGGAGGCTTGGAGAATGCCTGTGCTCCCCCTGACTGTGGTCCGTGATGAACACAAGAATGGAGAAGCTCACACAGGCTCAGCTGTGCTCCTCCCTCAGCCTGCACCCTCCCCAGACCAGGAAGCTCAGTGGCCGGAGCACAATGCCGGGGCCAGGGCTGGTCAGCAGCAGCCTCTATCACAGGAGTGGAGAGCCTGGCCTGGACTGTGGGTTTAGGAAAGTGCTAGAAAAACTGCCAAGTGCTGGTCAGCAAAGCGGTGTGAGTGCAAAGTGTGGGGTTACTACGGACCTAAACAGGGTGCCTTCGCTTAAGCAGAGGGATCTGAATGCCTAAGGCAGAGAGAGCCCAGAGAGGGTTCCGGTGACATCATGGGGACCGTGCCAGCAGTGCTTCAGGGGCTGGCTCTCTGGAGCCCCACAGGCTGCGAGGCCTGCAATTTCTCCCCTTTCCCCCAGGGCTATGTGGAGGCCACTGCAGCCTTTGGAAACAGGGAAGGACTGTGCCCAGCAGGAAGGAGGGCGCACTGACTGCCCGTCCATGGCAGGTTGCTCACACTGTCCCCAGATGACCCTTCCCTTTGTCCACAGTGTCCCACAGGGAAGCAGGAAGAGCCCTTACCCTTGACACCAAGTGGGCAAACACTGCTGTCACTCAGCGTGGTACTCACGCACCCACAGCACCGAGGGGACCTGACCCGGCAGATCAGGGTGAGACTCAAAACCATGACCCAGGGACTTCCTAACTCCCTCCTCCTGTGCATCTGTCTGTCTGTCTTCCCTGCTTTTTTCCATCCTCTCCTTCCTTATCACTCTCCATACCACCTTCTGCTAGTTCCCATCACACCCATCTCTCTTCCTGTTCGTCTGACCCAGGCCTCCTCCGTGGTGAGTCCCGTTATATTCACATTTGACAGATACTTTTCAGGTTTCCTGACTACCACTCAGGAAAGTGGGGTGAGCAAAGGGAAAAGTGCCAACTGCAGAGTCCCCGACCTGCATCATTTAGACACACATTTGGGGGGATAGAAATTCAAACCGTTCTGCTCATTATCTACATTATCTACACGGATTTGTAGAAGATCGATAGCTATAGCTGCAAGTGCCCAAGCCTCAATCAAACCGCCCAGCCAAGTAGCTGCACCCGTGTAAGTGGCCGTAGGGCTCTCCTCCTGGGAGAGGACCAAAGCCGCTCTTTTCGGCTGTACTTGCAGTTTTGAACCACACACGCCAATCAGGGTCTCCTCAGCCAGCCTTGCTGCTAAGAGACTCTGCCCCATTCACATCCCCGCTGATGGAAGAGGCCCAAGAAGCATGTTTGCGCGCCATGACTTTCCCAACACCTGATTGGCCCAGGGCTGGGCACCTGACCCTAGCTGAGCCAATCAGATTTTTTTTGTTCTCAAGAATTTGAACCAAGAGCCAGACCTTGTGAAGTTTAGGGCGTGGGTCTCAAACATGCAAACAAACAAAGCATGCATTGAAATCACCCGGAGAGCTTGATAAAACACAGATTGCTAGGCCTCATCTCCAGAACTTCTCACTTAGCAGGTCCAGGACGGGGCCAGAAAAATGTGCTGCTGCTCTGGTCCAGGGACCACACCTTGAGAGGAACTGAATTACATGGTGGGGAGCCCAGTCATGGTTGGGTCATGAAGACTCAGGCTCACAGTATTAGCAGAGCAACTTCTTGACTAGCTGGGGCTGCTAGGGTGGGGGAGGGGGAGGGGAGGCGGTCCTCAGCAGCAGAACAGAGACCTTGGCCCAAGACAGAGAAGGCTGAGCAGCACTGAAGGCCCAGGAGTGAAGCCTCCTTGCGAGGGTTCCCCTCCTGGCAATCACAGAACCCTCATCAGAAGACAGTGTTACAAGGGCTGATTCCACGCATGTGAAGGTACCTGCGGACGAGTGTGCTGGTCCAGCATGGTGAGCTGCACGTAAGTCTGCAGGGTGAGGCCCCATCGGCAGGCATCACGGTACATCAGACCCTGCAGAAGGGAGAACACAGCAACTTACCTCAACGTGCTCTACCTGTGGGACTCGGGTCATTTTGGTCAGCGATAGCCACCTAGTAATAACTATGTGGGCTGAAGTGGGGCCAGACAGACACTGGAGTACTTACAAGACAGCCCAGCAACAGCACCAAGGGAGCCTATATGACGTCCCCAGGCAACGTTCATGCAGTCATTCAACAATGTTCATTGAGCTCCTGGAGTCTATCCTAGTCTTTCATGTTCCATATGCCACTTACTAATAGTCTTACTCTTCCACGTTTGTTCGTTTGTTTTCTTGGCGTTAACTAATAAAACTCCAATTCTGCATTCAGAACTGCAGGCTTCTATGAGCCAGGAGGTCACCTTTTGGTTCTAGTCAGGGCACCCGGCTAGGTAACAAGCTTGACCCCCAGTAGGGGGCATGCAAGAGGTGGCCAATCAATGATTCTCTCTCATCATATCTCTCTTTCTTTCTCTCTCTCTCTCTCTCTCTCCCCCTCCCTCCTTCCCTGAAACCAACAAAAATATATTTGTAAAAGAAAAAAGAAAGAAAACTACAGGCTCCTAACTTCAGGTAAAAGAAAATCTCGGAAAGGTTGGGAAAAGCAATCCCTCTTGTCTGACGGCTGCAGAAACAAGCACCTTCTGTGTTAGAAAGCCAATTCAGAGAGTGATGGACTGAGACTTTTCACAAAACTACCAATCTTGACCTTCCCCCTAGAGTAGAAACTTATGCAAAAATATCTAATTCTATTATATTTATTATTATAAAACTGTCATTGGAAATTCTCTTTGAACCAAGGACACTCCGAGTTCTGAGACTGGGACTGTACCATATGAAATATTACCATAGTCCCTCAAGTCTTGTGCCCTATGAAATATTACCATAATCCCTCAAGTCTGCAACTCTAGTTGTCTTAATAACCCAGCCCTGGATCCTCCAGTTTCCTAGAGAATGATAATGTTTCTGAGGCTTTTCTGTGATGCCCAGAGAGACTGGCATTCTGTCTTCTCCCACTTGCACAGCGGTGAGGTCTGGTCATGTCTCTGGGATTCTTTATTCAGAGACTCTGAGAGTTTCTGCCTTATTTAAATAACATCCTTTTACCTGCTTTAGACTTTTTCATAGCTCACACCACTACCCACCACATCACACAGTTAACTGTCTTCTGACTCCCCACACCAGAATATTAAGGCCAGGAGAGCAGGCGCAGGCAACAACTAGTAGTTGGATGAATAACAGAACAAAGCTCCTACTAAGTGCTCAGCAGTGTGTTATGTCCTAGCAAACAACAGTGAGCCAAAACAGACGTAGTCCCTGCCCCCAGTGGAACTCAAGAATCTAAGAACCACACCAGGAAAGCCCAACTGTGTTGCTAGAAATGAGGGGACTATAGAGGCTCCCCTCTAGTCCAAGGTTGAAAGTAGATCTATCATTTACCAGTGTGTGACCTTGGGCAATGCCTGAATAAGGAAGCTGGTCATCCCTACACGATGGAGCAGGCTCCCAGACCGGCAGCCCTCTCTTAAGCTCCCTCTTGCAGGACAAGACTCCAGCCTTCACGTTCACGCAGAGCAGAGCAGAGCCTTCCGAATGGGGAAAGAGAACAAGGGGCACAAGCACACTAGAGCCCCTGCTTGCTAGGTCCGGCCTTGGGAAAGCAGACAGGAAGCCTCGGGGTGAGCCTGAGGCAGCGCCGGGACATTTGCAAGTGCAAATGCAAATCAGAGGTTTACTAAGGAAGCTGGTTAGAGGTGATGGGTCCTGAGGAGGCTAGGCCTGAGGAGACCTGGTTTCTAATGGGTTTCTTCTCAGAGAGGGTGGGAAAAGGAACAGCAGGAGGCAGACCCCTCGGTAACCAAGGCTAACCACCTGAGATCATCTGGGATCACTCTCAGGAGGTCCCTGGGCTCTGCACCTGCCCAGCCCCGTCTCCAAGATCCCTGAGCTCCGAACACCCACATGCAGCCGCTTTCCGTTTGTCTCCTCCTCCTCCGTCTCCAACCCAGCCAATGGGCAGGGGGCACGCTCAGGCACCGCCGTTCACTCAGGAAGAAGCTGGTGGTGCAGGCGGAACAACACACTCACCAGAGGGTTATGGCCACGGACATTTCTCCACTTGGGCACAGGCTCCGGAAACACCTGCAGGGAAAGAAAGCATCTAAGGGCTGCTGCTCCCCCGGGCTGAAATGAAACCATACAAGTGTTGGGGTAGACAAAACGAAGACCTGGGCATCCAGGTGGAGCAACCCTCTGTGCGAGGCCATAGCTCAGTCTAAGCATACCTTCCTCACGTGACTTCCAGAAATGGCTCAGACAACACTATCCAGCCCTGCACACAAGGATAGGCGCATGGCACCTCTGGCGGCCTTGGAGCTCCCTAAGGGCAAGGGAGGGTCTCTCAGTCCCTCTGTGTGCTCCGTCCCAGCCCGCACTGCTGGCCTGTCCGGCTGGCAGAGGTGAGAGAAGCGACTTTAGGCACTCGGGCTGCGAATCGAAGCCCAACTTCCAGCGTGGGAACTCTCCCGTGACCCTGGCCACTTGTTCTGCCTCCCATTTCCTCCCTCTGATCTCTGCGCTGAGCACACTGATAGCTAAGAATCTTGTTTCTACATAGGACAACGCCCCATCACTGAGAAAAGGAAAGGAGGAAAGCAAATGACCCTAAAGTTTGAAAATTATAGGGTCTGCTGTAAAGGGAGAAAAAAAAAAAAAAGCCATACACAGACTATTACACCACTAAAATCTACAAGGAAAAAGGGTCAGGTCAGGGTCAAGGTGTAGAGATTATTCTTAGTGACTGGACTGTAAATAAAGTAGAAATTGTGTTAGCTGGCTATGCATGGTAATACTCCCTGCATACTCACATACACTGTAACATCCCAGCCATCCTCAATAGTTTGCCTTCCTTCGCATGTAAACTTTTCCTAACCAGACTGTGGGGAGCTCTGTACCTGTGCTGTCCAGTACAGTGGCCGTGAGCCAATGTAGTTATTAAAAAGTTGGAATGGGTCCAGCCAGTGTGGCTCAGCAGTTGAGCATCAACCCAGGAACCAAAAGGTCACTGGTTCAGTTCCTGGTCAGGGCACATGCCCAGGTTGAGGCTCAGTCCCCAGTAGGAGGTGTACAGGAGGCAGCTGATCGATGATGTTCCTCTCTTTATTGATGTTTCTCTCTCTCTATCCCTCTCCCGTCCTCTCTCTAAAAGTCAATAAAAACATATTTTAAAAGGAAAAAGTTCGGTTGGGTTAGTTCAAATTGGGATATGCTAGAAATATGAAATACATTCCAGACTTCAAAGACTTAGTATGAAAGGTAAAATGCAAAATAGCTCATTGATGATTTTTATACTGATTACCTGTTGGTGTGACATCTGGGATATATAATATTAAATAAAATATTCTTTTTGGTTTTTTGGGGTTTTTTTTTAGCAAGGCTCTTAGGAATTGTACATTCTACATGTGGCCTGCATTTGTGGCTCGCATTATATCCTACTATCCTACTGGGCAGGGCTGCTCCACCGCCTATAAATTACTCTGTCAAGCTCAGGAACCTGCCGTGGAGGCCGTACCTCGATGTCTGTCGTGTTGGCGAAGAACTCCAGGCACGTTGTCTTCCCGCTGGCTATATTGCCCTCAACACACACCTGGCAAAAGACAGATGCCTGTTAGAACCAGAAGTCAAGCCCCTGGGAGAACAGCGGGGAGAATTTCTGCAGAGGGGCTCAGGTAAGCAGCATGGTTGGTTTAGGCCAAGACAGTCTTCTGGTACACGGGCTGGTGCTCTAGCCACTGAAAAACGCCAGCCAGGGCTCGTTGTTTTTTTTCTAGGAAACTTTTCTTCTTCCTAAATATTTAAAAAGAGCTCAACCAAACATCAATCTATACAGACGTTATTTCTTTCTACAAAGAACATGTTGTTCAGATGAAACTGTCTTCTAAAAAGACTTGTTCTGCGGGGACCGGTTTGGCTCAGTGGATAGAGCGTCGGCTTGGGGACTGGGGGGTCCCGGGTTCGATTCCGGTCAAGGGCATGTGCCTCGGTTGCGGGCATATCCCCGGTAGGGGATGTGCAGGAGGCGGCTGGTCGATGACTCTCTCTCATCGATGTTTCTAACTCTGTCTCTCTCCCTTCCTCTCTGTACAAAATCAATAAAATATATATTTTAAAAAATAAATAAATAAATAAATAAATAAAAAGACTTGTTCTACCTCCCACCACGAAATCCTAAAAGTTGGTCAATCTAAGGCCTTCGATTAATAATAGAGCACGCAGGCATGAAGAATCCCAGAAAGTTCTCCTGTCACCAAGGAAAGAAAGAGGAACCAAGCAAAGGAAGTCTTTAATTTTTCTTAAAAGTCATATCTAAAAATACTATAGGAGAGCATGCCCGTTGAAGAAAATAGAAAAACTTCATAAAAGAGAAAAATACCGTCTACACTCCACTACTGAGAGATGAACAGCATGCTTCAGGCCTGGGTTAGCTTCTACACACATTTCTCATCTTTGAGAGTCTTTTTCTTTTTTAAATATATTTTATTGATTTTTTACAGAGAAGAAGAGAGAGAGATAGAGAGCTAGAAACGTCGAGAAACATCGACCAGCTGCCTCTTGCACACCCCCTACTGGGGATGTGCCCGCAACCAACATACATGCCCTTGACCGGAATCGAACCTGGGACCTTTCAGTCCGCAGACCAACGCTCTACCGCTGAGCCAAACCAGTTTCGGCTTTGAGAGTCTTTCAACTGCACACGAAGGGCCTACTATGTGTCAAGCACTGTGGGCTCAGGAGCCAGTCCCAGCACCCACACAGCACACAGTGAGTGTGAAGATGGAAGGAAAGTAGCAGGAGATTAAGAGAGATTACAAGAACAGATGTTTGCCATGCTGGGGGAGGATGTGGCTAGCCTGGCCCGCCTCTCTTTCATGTGCCAAAGTGTACATGTTCCTTGTCAAATTTCAACTTCCTGTGGTTACAATCAACACTGTGATGCACCACCTAGCCTAATTTTTTTTAATATAGATTTTTATTTATTTTTTACAGAGAGGAAGGGAAAGAGATAGAGAGTTAGAAACATCGATGAGAGAGAAACATCGATCAGCTGCCTCCTGCACACTCCCTATTGGGTATGTGCCTGCAACCAAGGTACATGCCCTTGACCGGAATCGAACCTGGAACCCATGAGTCCACAGGCTGACGCTCTATCCACTGAGTCAAACCAATTTCGGAGATAGCCTAATTTTTAAATAACAACATTTAATCTTTCCTGAATAGAAGGTAAGCAATCTTGCAGTATGAAATACTGAGAACCAAAAGGAGAAAATAAAAAATCACTCATGCTTCCAGAGATAACGGCCATTCCGATGTCTAATCAGAACCAAGCTCTCCAGAGGCAAACAGGCTAGGGCTAGGGCCTCCAAGCCCCCACGGGAACCAAAAGACCCTGAGAAATAGGCAGTGAAAAGGAAACCTGCCCAAATGTCCAACCACTGGTAAATAGATACAGTGGGTACATCCACACCATCGGATACTATTTGGCAATAAAAAGGAAGGAAGCAGTGATACATGCTCCAAGGTGGATGTATTATATGTGCCTCAAAACTAGCGAAGTGAAAGAAGGGAGACCCACAAGACTGAATGCTACATGATTCCCTTTTTTCAGAAACTAGTGAGCCGGTGCACAGATTCAGGCACATTGAAAGGAAATTAATTTGAAGGTGGCTGGCTGGGCCGGACGGGGCAAGACGGGCTGGACACGCCCTGGTGTTAACCTCCCTCGGTCCCCTCCCCAGCATCTGGGGAGTGAGGTCCCTCAACCTGGCCCGCAGGGATCAGGCCCAAAACCGGCTCTCCGACATCCCCCAAGGGGTCCCAGAGCACAAGGGGGCACTCTGCAAAGTTGCTGTCGTACAAGGTGTGGAACGCAAATGCAAGTAAACCAGATTTGGGCCGACATAACCCACAGCTGAAGTTGGAATCGGGCTCCCTCCTCTCTGGTTCTGGGGTGCGTCACCGGAGAAATGCAGCTGCCAAGTCCCTGAAGCTCGGCTGCCCCTGCCTTGAGCACCTGTCCCCTGGTGGTCAGTGCGTGTCATAGAGACTGGTCGGATTATTAGCCTTAGCTTATTAGACTTTTATATATATATAGATTATATAGATGTTCAGAAAAGCAAATCTGCCGAAACCAGTTTGGCTCAGTGGATAGAGCATCGGCCTGCGGACTGGGGGGTCCCAGGTTCGATTCCAATCAAGGGCATGTGCATTGGTTGCGAGCATATCCACAGTGGGGAGTGTGCAGGAGGCAGCTGATCGATGATTCTCTCTCCTCGATGTTTCTGACTCTCTATCCCTCTCTCTTCCTCTCTGTGAAAAATCAATAAAATATATTATTTTAAAAAAAAGAAAATCCACAGAGGAAGTAGGTTAGTGGTTGCCTGAGACTGGGGGAGTGATTTTGAATGGGCAAGAAGTTTCTTTTCCTAATGATAGAAATATTCTAAAATTAGTGTGTTAATGTTGCACAACTGTGTAAATTTACTAAAATTCACTGAATTGTACACTTAAAATGGGTGAATTTGGGGGTATGTAAATTAAACTCACTACAGCTGTGTTGCTGTGGGTTGTGTGTGTGTTTTTTTTTTAAAGGAACCCTTTCAAATAACTAAGTGAATTATCAGTCAAATAACTAAGGGAAGACTCTTTACCCCCCAATTCTCTCTCCCTCTCATTCAAACCCACTGTTAACGCTCCCCAATTCTGCCTTAACCAGACTGACAATTTTGCAATAGTTTGTAATACTTCTTTCTGGGGGTTTTTCCAATGGAAGGTTTATATATTATTTCATTTTATTCCTACATCATAGATTTTTATCCTTGATTTTTTTTTTCTTCTCTTACAAAATGAGTACCTTTCCAGGTCATTAAATATTTTTCAAAAACACGATTCTGAATGGGTGAATAATATTTTATCATATCAGCTGGGGAGGGAGTGTGAGACCCAGGGATGGAGCCAGACCTCCCTCTGATCCCTGGAGATCCTCTGGCATTTCTGTTTTTTTACTGTGTGAATCCCTTCACTCCCCTCCACACAAATTATGTCCATGGGAGAGTGCACACACAAGGAGGGACTTACCACTGACTTTTTCTCTTTCTCGTTTTCTTTATCTACAAAAGAAAGGAAATGTCTTTAAGCTTAGTTGTCAATGATGCACTCTCCTTTGACCTAGTTTGCTAAACCACCACAAAATAGAACTTTTTTTTTATGCTTGCTCCCTGGCCTCAAAGTGTTTCCCAATGACACCTGGGGCCTCCATGGCCGGAGAGAGGCAGACCCACTGCACCTGTCTAGCTGTGTGACTCTGTGCCCCTGCCACCTGGGGCCTGCTGGCACCCCTGCGCCCCAACCGTGCCAGCGTTTTCACTTAAGTTATACTATCTGGCTTTCCCTTTTCCACACATTTAATATCGCCGATGCTCACAGCGTGTGTCCAGGGAATGAAAACATAGAGTGGGCACAGGTGAGAGTTGGCCTTGGCCTTGGCCATAGGTCTCAGGTTTTTCTCTTCTAAGCCCGGGGCTAGTATCGAGGCCACCCCACCCCCTCACAGGTGGTTCTGGGGGGCCACCCAACAGCCGGAGGCCCAGGGAGGACCAGGAAGCCTGGCCGTTAGCAGTGATCCCCGCATTCGTGGGGGACTGGCTGCCTATCTGCAGCTCCCAGCCTCCGCCACTGGGAGTGGGGTTCTTTCTCCTCTTTCGAGGGCTCCCCAACTCCGAACCAGAGACCTGGCCCCGCGCCCCTCGGACGCATCCGCTCGCAGCCGGCCGACCGGCTGGCGTCCGGGGGCGTGTGCCAGGGGCTGCCCCGCCCCTGCCCCCCCCCCCCGCATGCGCCCTGAGTTGAACCCCCCGCGCCTCCAACCGGGAGTTTGGGGTTCCGTTGGGTCCCCGCGACCCGAGGGAGGGAGGGGAGTGGGGCGGCCTCCGCTGGACGCTAAGACGTGGCACCCAGAGACGCGTTACCCCGAGGCCAGGCCCGGCGCTGTGCTCCCCGCTGCCCCGGGCTCCACCCGGGCTTCCCGGGCCCCTCCGGGCGCAGCGCCCGGCAGACCCAGCCCCGCAGCGGCCGCAGGAGCATGGCCCGGCGGGCGGGCGGCTCCGGAGGCCGCGCTTCCTTCCGGTGCGGCGTCGGCGGCGCGCGCAGCCTCCCTCCCGGCGGCTCCGCGGGGCGCCAGCTGGGGCTGGGCCCTTAAAGAGACCCCGCCCCATTTCCCCGCCTCCGACGGCGAGAGCCATCCGCGGCGCGGAGGTCGCCGTTTGCAGACAGAAAATAAATAATCTTCGCGCTCAGTGGACGCTGGCGGGATGAACCCGTGGCTTGGCAAGCCTGGAGGATGGGTGGCCAATAATACCAGCCACTGACTGGTTAACAATGATCGGGGATCACATGACCGAGCGCCTGTGTCAGGCAGGCACGTGGCACACACGTGGCACACACTCACCGTGTCAGTTATTCGTCCCAAGAATCCTGCAAATGGCTGTTGTCACTCCCATTTCCCTAGCTGAGCTGATCTTCGGAAACTTGGGCACCTTGTTTAAATGATCATGAGCATGCATCACTGAGTGGAGGTGATGGAATGCAAGCCCATCTATGCTGTTTCACAGCCTGTACGCTCTCTCCTCTGAACTCTTGGCATATCCAGAGTCTGGATTGAAAATGTACTAGATCCCTCAGGAAGGTGTTTAAACACACACACACACACACACACACACACACACAACAACAACCACAAAGACTCCTAAAATTTGTATGGAACTGGAAAAAAAAAAACAAAAAAACAAAAAAAAAAAACTCAGAATAGCCAAAGCAATCTAGAGAAAGAACAAAACTCCCTGATTTCAAACTATACTACAAAGCTATGGTAATCAAAACTGTGGGGCTGGCATGAAAACAGACACATAGATCAATGGAAAAGAAGAGAGAGCCCAGAAATAAACCCATGCATATGTGGTCAATTAATCTAATATGACAAAGGAGGCAAGAATATAAAATGGGGAAAGACAGTCTCTTCAATATCAGGGGAATGCACATCAAAACCACAATAAGACACCACCTCACACCTGTCAGGATGGACTACTGTCAAAAGCACAACAAATAACAAGTGTTGGTGAGGATGCGGAGAAAAGGAGACCTTTGTCTATCACTGGTGGGAATAGTTCAAGCCCACATTGTGCTTCCTGTAGTCTATGCCACAGACCTCGCACAGGGCAAAGCCATGTCCTCCATAAGCACACTCTCTCCTCTGAACGCTTGACAACGGGATCCTGCAGGGAGAGAAGCAGACTGGCAGGTCCTTGCTTTTGTGCAATTTATATTATTAAGCCCAGTACCTAACAGGGGCCCTCCTGGTTCATAGGTCTATATGCACAACCACTGAACCACACCTGCCACAGTCGATACCCCGTGTGGTGCATGCAGCAGGCAGCCGATTAATGACTCCCTCCCATCAAGGATGTTTCTGTCTCTCTCCCTTCCTCTCTGAAATCAATAAAAATATTCTTTTTAAAAATATATATTTTATTGATTTTTTACAGAGAGGAAGAGAGAGGGATAGAGAGTTGGAAACCGATGAGAGAGAAACATCGATCAGCTGCCTCCTGCACATCCCCCATGGGGGATGTGCCCGCAACCAAGGTACATACATGCCCTTGTCCAGAATCAAACCCGGGACCCTTGAGTCCACAGGCCGACGCTCTATCCACTGAGCCAAACCGGTTTCAATAATAAGAAATATTCTTTCAAGATATCTACAACATCAGCTGATGATAAATGCTATGAGGAGAGGGTAATGGTGGCTACTCCAGACGCTGGCATTTGTGATGTCCAGGGTATGGGGTGGCAGGACACACATTCCTGGACCCCCTTCCTTGCCTGCCCACCATCCCCCTGTGGAGAGCTGGGAAGCGGTTGCCTTTGGTGCCTGGCAGAGCAGGGCGGTGCCCAAGTGCTCCCAGGGGCCTGGCCAGCAGTGGCTCATTTTTGCAAAAAATGCAGCTTGCCAGGGAACAGGCTAGGGCGCATGCGCAGTAGTGTGGGCTGTGCAGGCGCGTGAGAGCAGAAAGGGGACCCCCTCGCCTGGCGGGGGGGGGGGGGGGGGGGGGGCGGTGCGAGGAGGCTGCTGCCGTTGCGGGTCCCCGCAGGAGGCCCCGTGGAGGGGAGTGGGGAGGGGCTGAAGGGCCAGGGCTGCTGCTGCTGCCGGGCCTGCGGGCACCATGAACCCGAAGCATCGCCCTTTCTGCTGTAGCGTGAAGGGCTGCGTGAAGCTGCTGCGGCTGGTGAGGGCTGCGGGCGGAGGGAGGGCGGCGTGCACGGTGCTCAGGGCGGCGCGATGGGTGGAGAGCAGGAAGTAGAATGCCCTGTCTTCCCTTCCAACCTGGTCTTGATCCAGGCCGCCCCAGAGGCCAGGCATCCCAGAGGAAGGAGAGAGAGAAGGCACTGTGCTCCCCCTGGGGGCTTTCCACACTCATAAAGCAAAGTCAGCCTGTTTACCTGGAGGCCCTACGGTGGGACCCCAAACCAGGTCCCCAGGTCCCCAGAGGAGGCAGTGCCCTGGGCCAGTCAGAAGCGAGCGAGATAAGAAGACTCAGGGGGTTGGGTGGGTGCTGTTTGTTTACTGTCAGTCAGAAGCTGGATGGGACCCAGCTCAGGGCTCCTTCAGCCCAGAGCCTGGGGTGTGGGGCCCGCAGGAGCATGGCAGTCAGTTCTGAACAGGCGTTCGGAGAGAATGAATCATCCTGTGGAGGAAGGCGGCGGGACCAGTTAGAGAAGCGGAAACTGCCATAGGAGACCATGCGGAAGGAGTTCCAGAAAAAAGAGGGAAGGGGGGAAATTTTTAATTTTTAAAGAAGTGACATATAGGAGATGGCATGGAAGTAGTCCAGAGTTACAGGGAAACAGTTCTGACGAGGAGGAAGAATTTTATATCAGGAAGGTAGTGCATTCCCAGAAAGCAAAGGCAACAGGCATAGATGAGCATTGGGCGAGTTATGTTTTAGCGAACAACAGTGAGCTATAGTGAATGTTGTAAATAGTCAAATAAATGATTTCGGCCATATACACACATCCATGCATTTTAGTCTTGCCTTTTATTTATTTTTTAATGTATTTTATTGTTTTTTTTACAGAGAGGAAGGGAGAGGAAGAGAGAGTTAGAAACATCAATGAGAGAGAAACATCCATCAGCTGCCTCCTGCACACCCGCTCCTGGGGATGTGCCCGCAACCAAGGTACATGCCCCTGACGGGATTCAAACCTAGGACCCTGGAGTCCACAAGCAGACGCTCTATCCACTGAGCCAAACCAGTGAGGGCTAGCCGTGCCTTTTAGATGTGTGTATGGCAGAAACTGGTTTATTTAGGAATTTTTTTTAGAAATGATCCCTTTAACAGCATACACTTGTGTTCAATAACCACTGATAAACCATGTCTGTGCTTTCTCCCTACAGGCACTAACTGGGACATCTATGACCTTTTTTATCCTCTCACAAGCCCCTGAGCCATACATTGTTATCACTGGATTTGAAGTCACCATTACTTTCGCTTTCATAGTTTTATATATGATCAGACTTGACCGCAGAGTTACCTTTTTATTTTGGCCTTTGCTTGTAAGTGTTCCGTTTCATTGTTAATCTTAACTACTTTTTCCTGCCATAGTGAGACATTTTAATAAACTCCATTCTTTCGTTCTCTTAAGCCTGTAAGGAAATCTCCGATACACTTAGGAAGGAGAAACGCTACCCACTGCTAAGGTGTTCCTAATTGTCCCGGGGGGGGGGGGGGGGGGCGCCAGGGGAATCACAGCACATGAATTCCCCTTTGAACTCCGTCTGAATTGTGTAAATTTAGGTCATGATTAAGTCTAGAACATTCTTAATCGTTTTTAAATATATATATTTTATTGATTTTTTTACAGAGAGGAAGGGAGAGGGACAAAGAGTTAGAAACATCAATGAGAGAGAAACATCCATCAGCTGCCTCCTGCACACCCCCTCCTGGAGATGTGCCTGCAACCAAGGTACATACCCTTGACCGGAATCGAACCCAGGACCCTTCAGTCCGCAGGCCGAGGCTCTATCCACTGAGCCAAACCGGTTTCAGCTCGGCACATTCTTAATCTTTATCTTCCTTTTAAATGCATGCTGCTTTGTCCTCAAAATTGGGGGGGAGGGGAGAGTCTAGATGGAGGGAAAGACAGTGTCTATATCGTACACATTCCTGATCACTAAATGGAAAATCAAAATAATTTAGGAGGCTCAATAAAGCACAAGATTATCTTATTTTAAAAGTCTGCGGTCATGAACGCATCTTGTAGAGCCTTAAGTAGCAGCATATGGACTTCATATGCCACATTTGTAACATGAGGAATAACTGCCCAGCGGAGTGCCCACATCATTCTATACATTGTCAAAATAGGCCTGTTAAAGACATTAGTTAAGGTGTATATGGCCCTGCAGCCTGGACTATAAGCTGGTTCTAGGAGAAAAGGAATGACTTCAACCTACCTCCTCTCTCAAGTCTTATCCCCAGCATCCTATCTCCAGAGGCCTCCCTCCCAAGACCCTCTGCTGCACCTGTTTCCTCCTCCTCACGTGACCTCCAAGCTGATAACCCCTATTTTGAAAAGAGGACTTGAGAGCTATTCTCAAACCAGAAGCATGCCTTAACGTGGTACCTCCTGAAACCACCTTCCAAGGCCAATGATGATCATTTCAGGCTCATCACAAGCTGAGAAACCCCAAAAGGGTAAATATTGGGACTAGATAGGACATTCTCAGCATCCCTCCAAACTCCTCCTTCATCCTCCGTCATCAAGACCCTCCTCCATCGGACCTGTCTCGAGGGAGGCCTAGAGAAGAGATTAAAAGCCTTCATCCGCCAAAACCGGTTTGGCTCAGTGGTAGAGCGTCGGTCTAAGGACTGAAAGGTCCCAGATTCGATTCCGGTCAGGGGCATGTACCTTGGCTGCGGGCACATCCCCGGTAGGGGGTGTGCAAGAGGCAGCTGGTCGATGTTTCTCTCTCATCGATGTTTCTAGCTCTCTATCTCTCTCCCTTCCTCTCTGTAAAATATCAATAAAATATATTTTTAAAAGGAAAAGAAAAAAAGAAAGCCTTCATCCGTGGGTCCTGAGTACATAACATCATCTAGTGGCAGAAAAACCCGCGCTAAATGATCCCAAGGACCCACATCCTTTTACTCTTGTGCTCGAAAAGCTGGATAGCCACTCTTCATAGTCTGCTTTTCCAGGGTTATTAAAACTTAACACCTGTTAGCATTTTTTCCCCCAAAACTAATAATTCTCTGGATCTTCTTCCAGGTAATAAACGTGGAGCCCTACGTTGAACAGAATGCACCGAGGGGGACAGTAGACTGTGTATAGCTTACTGAAAGTGGTCTCTCAGTCTCTGAGGATCACACTTTTGCTGACACTGTAATCTCTTCAAAATGGCGCTATATGGCCAACTAAATAAGTTATGACTCCATTATGATACCCAGATTCCTCTCTGCTCTTTTTTTTTTAATATGTTTTATTGATTTTTTACAGAGAGAAAGAGATAGGGATAGAGAGTTAGAAACATCGATGAGAGAATCATCGATCAGCTGCCTCTTGCACATCCCCTACTGGGGATGTGCCCGCAACCAAGATACATGTCCTTGACCGGAATCGAACCAGGGATCCTTCAGTCCGAAGGCCGACGCTCTATCCACTGAGTCAAACTGGTCTCGGCCCTCTCTGCTCTTGATCTAACAAAATCATTTATTCACTAAATATGAAGTCTCTGCTCATCCCTGGTTCTGTGATGGGTTCTTTAACGAGACAAGACACAAATCTTCAGACGTGAGAAGCTTTCATTGTCGCCAGGAAGAAGGATGGATGAGCAGTTCAGTGTGCTAGGTGCTGTGACAGATGTGCACTCAGCATGGCGTCACCCAGCCAGGGAAGGGGACCCAATCATAGCAGGCCCAAGCTGAGGGCGGAAGGATGAAAAGTAGCTAACGGACTGATACGGGGATGGAAGGGCTTTCCCAGGAGAGGGAGCCATGTATGTGAGGGCGCAGAGGGAGAAAGAGCATGCGGGTAGCTCCAAATGGCTGGAATACTGAGCTAGAAAGGAGAGAGAGAGAGAGAGAGAGAGAGAGAGAGAGAGAGAGAGAGAGAGAGAGAGAGAGAGAGAGAGAGAGATGGGAGGTCTGGGAGGCAATAGGAGGTCAGGGCACGCAAGGCTTTGGATGCCCTGGGTTTTAACCCGAAGGCCAGTGGGAGCTTTGAAAGATTAGGTATCAGCCCAGCCGGTTTTGCTCAGCGGTTGAGCATTGACCTATGAACCAGGAGGTCACTGTTCGAGTCCCAGTCAGGACACATGCAGGTGGCGGACACCATCCCCAGGAGGGAGTGTGCAGGAGGCAGCTAATCGATGATTCTCTCTCATCATTGATATTTCTATCTCTGTCTCCCTCTTCCTTCGTCTCTGAAATCAATCTAAAAACATTTTTAAAGAAAGACGAAGTAGCAGAGTGACGTGATCAGCTCCCATTTTAGGAGTTGGCGCTGGCGACAGGGTCCATAATGGCTTGAAATGGAACAAAACTAGAGGCAGGCCTGAGAGATCACATAGAAGCCTGTTACCACAATCCAGGCACAAAACTGACCACCACCTGAACCAAGGTTCTAACAGCTGGAGAGGAAGGGGATGTTAATGAGGTAGCATGGGTAGGATTGAGTAACCAAGGAGAATCGAGAATGCCTGCCCTTTAATAACCATCTTGAGAGGAAAATGAGATATGCAGCATAGGAGGAAGAATAGGTTTGAGGAAGGGCCAAGCAGGGTGGCAGGGGGTGAGTTCCGTCTGAGAAATACTAGGTTTTTCTGTTGCACGTGGGCTATTGAGATGGAAACGTTCAGGGCAGAGCTGAAGCCAAGGAGAGAGAAGTTAGAGCTGCGACTTTTTATTTTTTATTTTATTTTATTGATTTTTTACGGAGAGAAAGAGATAGAGAGAAACATCGATGAGAGAGAATCATCGATCGGCTGCCTCTTGCACATCCCCTCCTGGGGATGTGCCCACAACCAAGGTACATGCCTTGACCGGAATCGAACCCGGGACCTTTAAATCCGCAGTCCGACGCTCTATCCATTGAGCCAAACCGGTTTTGGCTAGAGCTGCAGCTTTGAGAGTCATCACACTCCCTAGTGATGGAAATCAGCTCAGAGACTGGCCTACCTGGTTCAGAGAGGGAAGAGGAAACTGAAGGCAAAACTGGGAAATGCCAACGTATGGGGTGAGAGAGAGGAAGGAGTGGCCAGAGGAAGACCAGAGAGGACCTTAGGGAGAGCCCCAAGTCCCGGGGCAGGTGCACCCTTCCTTGTCCTGTGGTGCTCTGCAGGATCTAGAACACTAAAGGCTTTTTCTCCAAAGCCTTTCCTATACACATGCCTACGTCACTCACAGGAAGCAGGGTGCCTGTCTGAAGCAGAGGTGGTCGATGGCCTTGAAGCAGAATAATATGTCTACTCCTCGGGGCACTGACCTGGGACAGTGATCTGGGGCAGGTGGTCTTAGGATCTCCTGCAAATGATAAGTTCTTTCCACCTAGTCCAGACCTGTCCCCACGGACTCCCTTTCTTCCCTATTTTCTTTTGAATCACCGCTACTTTTCTGAGCTACCGAGGTTTTGAAGTTTGATATTTCTGCGTTGATTCCTTCCTGTCTCTAGTTGTCTGTAAGCATGCATAAACGATCCCAGGACAAAGACGACCTGCCTTGCCCACACTATCCTCCCTTCAAAATGTAAGCTGCACCCCATACAGCCACAGTTCAGAAGGAAAACGCTTCAAGAAATCGTGATTGAGCTTGCACATCCTCAAAAATGACCGCATAATTGGCCAATCATTGCACAGAGATGACCGCTTCCTGGAAATTACCACTTTCTCCTAAGAGTGCACTGCTTTTAGTTTTATCAACTGCCTTTCAGTAACATTATCGAGTGGTTTAATTGACAGTTGTCGACTGCTTTACACTTCTATTGTTACAATCGAGCATCCTGACTTCTCAATGCACCATTCTGCCTCAGACCTCATCTACCCCCGCCAACTACATTTAAGTAAAAAAATAAATAAGCCTGCTAAGGAAATCAGTGATTGGTGCATTCTAGGTTAAGCGGACCACTAGACGTCCTTGTAGATCAAACACAATAGAGGTGTCATTTTACTGCAGCAGCTTGATTTTCTAAAAAGATAAACATTAAATAAATGTGTTTAATAAAATGGAACTAGGTATATCTTTGGGGAGTTTATTCTTCTGTTTTTCTACTGTGTGTGTGTGTGTGTGTGTGTGTGTGTGTGTAATCTTCATGTAAAGCTGACCTTCCTATTCTGCGTTTTCAGGATATTATCAACTCACTGGTAGCAGCAATGTTCATGATCATCATAGCTGTGTTGGCACTGATACCAGAAACCACGCTATTTACAGTCCTTGGAGGGGTAAGTGGAGGCCTTTCTGGTTTCTTCCTTTAGATTTGGTCAGAATTCAATTTACATAAAAAATAAGATACAAGAAAAGAACTCTACATTGCATTCATCCTTGGGCCTCTGAGGTTTTACAGCACCCAGTGGCTTAATATTTTTTGTATGAATACATGCCCTGATTAATGTGAAGGAATAGGATGTCACAATAAAATGAAGTTAACTAAATAATGAACTTCTACATATTTCTCCTGGATATGTAGAGCTAGACTAGACTGAGAAAAGCTACAAGAATCAGTTATAATACTTAGCTTTGAGAAACTTGATGTCAAGCAAAATACTATGAGTAAGTTTCATAGTTCTCCAGAAGGAAGGAAGGAAGGAAGGAAGGAAGGAAGGAAGGAAAGAAGACTGCTCAGCTGGTGTGGCTTAGTGGTTGCATGTTGTTCTATGTACCAGAAGGTCATAGTATGATTCTCAGTCAGACCCAGGTTGTGGCTCTATCCCCAGTGTGGGGCTTGCAGGAGGCAGCTGATCAATAATTCTCTCTCATCATTGATGTTTCTATCCCTCTCTCCCTCTCTCTTCCTCTCTGAAGTCAATAAAAATATATTTCTTAAAAGATAAAAATGTACTACTTGTTAAGGTGAGACAGACTATTCTGAGCTCAGTTAGTTCTTGTCCAGATCCTTTCTCAGAGGGAATATAATAGATGTCTCCTGATAAGGGAATTATGGTAGGGAGCCTATTAACTAAAGAATTATTTTGAATTCTGATGAAATACAAGTCAGTCTAATCAGACCTTATTCTGGAAAGCAAGCCAAAATTTAAAAGAAAAAAAAAAATGTCAAGTAATGTAGTTGAAATAGTCCCACCTGATACTCTTCTGAGATTTCTTATCGGAGGTTCAAAATCATTTGGCTTCTCTAGGTTCTGATCTAGAGAAGTGAATTAGAAAGTTATTAAATAAATCTCCCTCCTACTTCCTTGTCTTTTCATAGTATGGACCACTTAGGACAGTGGTCGGCAAACTGCGGCTCTCGAGCCCCATGCGGCTCCTCTTTGGCCCCTTGAGTTTTTAGCAAAGGCCAGCTTAGGAGTGCCCTAATGAAGTTAATAACAATGTATCTACCTATATAGTTTAAGTTTTAAAAATTCAGCTCTCAAAAGAAATTTCAATCCTTGTACTGTTGCTATTTAGCTCTGTTGACTAATGAGTTTGCCGACCACTGCTCTAGGAGAACTGATCGCTCTCAGATAGCCATGTTTGTCATGGTTTCTTGTCTCCCTTATTAGGCCCTAAGCAACTTCATGAGGGATTTGAAGAAATGAAACAGTGCTACAACAGCAATTTCCCCGGTTGTCTTTAAAGATAATCTTACCCTCTACTATGAAGAAAGAGGGTTTACTTTCATTCACTAATTTACTCATTCACTTTTTAATTGATTTCAGAGAGAAAGAGAGAGGGTGATGGAAGCATCAATGATGAGAGAGAATCACTGATTGTGTGCCTCCTGCACACCCTCTCCTGAGGATCAAGCCCACAACCTGGGCATGTGCCCTGACCAGGAATCAAACCGTGGCCTCCTGGTTCATAGGCTGGTGCTCAACCACTGAGCCATGCTGGCCGGGCTCGGTGACACATTGTCCGTCTTTGGGACGGCACTGGGCCAGAACATGAGCCCTTTCCTCAAGTTACTTAGAGCCTAACGCAAGAGATAAAGAATGTGAACAGCTGTACGTGAGGTGTTGGCAGTACTTTGGGGCACAGAAAAGAGGAAGCTACTACTGTCTGGCCATGGAATCAAGGGGGTAAGAGGTGGTGGTAGTGGGAAGGGGGGGGGAGGTGCCAGGTGGAAGAACCAGCCATGTGAGGAGAGTGCCAGAGTCATGAAAGCATAGCTAAAAGGCACTTCCTGTGGTCAGAACATAGGAAACCAAGCTGGAGACTCAGGGTGGGAAAGGAGCGGTGTCTGAGGGAGAAAGCCAGCCTTCCAGGCCTTTAGATGGAGCTGAGCAAACAGCACGCAGGAATGCCCCCTCTCCAGCCCGGCACCAGCCCTCAAATAGCGGCCAGCGGGCTCTAGTTCATCCCGTTGACCTCCATTTCATTGTCCCAGGGCCTCTGTAGAGTTCCGCCCTGTAGGTGAGCATGGCCAAGCCTTTGAGAGAGCCTCATCACCCCAGTTCTCCGAAGCTTTCATCACAGCCCCCAGCACCGCCCTTTCCTCTTGGCACTGCTGCTGACTCTGACCCCTTCCCCAGTAGCGTTTGGGACAGGAAAGGCAAACAGTGGAGCACTGGAGACAGACGCGTTGACTGATGACGACTCAATATCAGCAGCAGGTCTTGAAATAGTACGTTCCAGGACCAAGTCAGGAGATCCAGGCCAGCCCTGGCTGGTTTTGCTCAGTGGACAGAGCATCGGCCTGGGGACTGAAGAGTCCCAGGTTCAATTCCGGTCAAAGGCATGTACCTTGGTTGCAGGCACATCCCCAGTAGGGGGTATGCAGGAGGCAGCTGGTTGATGTTTCTACCATGTTTCCCCGAAAATAAGACATCCTCCGAAAATAAGACCTAGCACATGGAAAGATAAGACATCCCCTGAAAATAAGACCTAGCGCAACTTTGGGAGAAAAAAATTAATATAAGACACTGTCTTATTTTCAGGGAAACAGGGTAGCTCTCTATCCCTCTCACCTTCCTCTCTGTAAAAAATCAATAAAAATATATTTGAGAGGGGGGAAAAAAAAAAGAGATCCAGGCCAGTCTTTATTTCAGAGCCCACCCCACTTCAAATAGCACTTGTGCTCCCTTTCTTCGGGTACGAAAACTTGGGCGTGAGAATACAATGGCCTCTGAATTCTCTTCCAGTCATAGTCTCAGCAGTCCCCTTGCCCCAGCAGGAGAAGAGGCCGGTGGTCAGACCCCTTGGGCAAACAGGACCTAGTGAGAGAGACCCCAGCAGTGACCCTGTGTCTTTGCCCGCAGGTGTTCTGCCTCCTGGCGGTGGTGTGCTGCCTCGCCGACGCGGCTCTCATTTACCGGAAGCTCCTCTTCAATCCTAGCGGTCCTTATCAGAAAAAAGCTATTCACGACAAAATATAAACGGTGTCATTTTTTAAGAGACCTTTTTTCAGGATTAAACACATCTCTTTATTTTTTTTCCACCCCACGTGATTTCTGCCCTTGCTTGCGTTCCCTTTCGGAGCCGGAGGAAGGGATGCAGGGAAGCAGGGACTCCGCGCCCAGCGCATCCCCTGGACCACACCTGCCCGGCGCGCTGCGGGCGTCCGGGTACCGTTAGCCGGGCTTTCCCATCCCGGCTCCCGGGGAACAGCAGGGGAGCCCGGGCACCCCCTGGCTGGCGAAGGTGGGGTTGCAACACCGAGTTCCCACGCTGGGCAACGGCGCCCCCCGGGTGACCAGGAGGGAAGCTGGCTGGAGAGGCTGGTGCGTCCTCAGGCAGAGAGAGCTGGGTGCGCGCGAGGGATGGGCCGCCGGCAGCCGTTGGGGCGCGACGCTGGTGGCCGTGGGAGAGCTGGCGGCTGCAGCAAGGATCAGAGATTAGGGCCAACCTAACACAGAGCCAGGCCCCGGGCCCACCATGGCTTCTTACGATGTGGCGGGACCCGAAGGAGGCGCCTCCATGCGTCGCGGGCGCAGCGCACCCACCAAGAATCAACCCAAACGCTCCGCGGCGTCCATCCACGGGGTGCAGCCAGGAGCCAAAGGGAAAGCCAAGAAGGGCCCAGACCAGAAGCTAGATGAGTCCGTGACCCTGACCACGCCCGAGGGGGAGGCCATCACCGAAGTGGAGAAGGAGGCCATCCAGAAGCGTGCGGAGGGCCGCACCAAAGTCCCGCCCGAGTTCACGGACAGCATCAAGAAGTTCTTCTTCTCGCCCACCGGGGCGCTGAAGATCGCGAGGCTGGTAAGTAGGAGAGCTGGTAGCTTGACCTGGGCACAAGCAGGGCAGATGCAGGCAGGCCTCGGCTTGGGGAAACCTTCCCTAGTGCCCTTGGCCAGGCCCCCTTGGTGTTGTTGTTTGTTTGTTTGTTTGTTTGTTTTCATGTATGTGTATTGTTGAAAGTATTATCGATGTCCCCTTTCTCCACCCCCTCCCCATGTTGCCTCACCCTTCCTCCTGACTCCTCTTGTTCTGTACACACACTCCAAACTTACTACTAGAGTTGGCTTTTTTTTTCCTGTCCTACTCCTCTATTCCTCGGGTTTCCCTTCACAAAGGGAACTAGGGAAGCAATGAAGATGAGAGCAGCAGTGTGTAAATAGCAAGCACAAATCACAAAACTGACCAATAAAGCGGATAGACCTCTCACCAAGATAACGGCCAAAGCGGGGAGGAGAGGGCATATATTCAAAGTTAGAAACTAGAAAGGGAAAAGAATCACAAACCCCCAGGAGAGGAAAGGATCCACAGGAGAGGATCGTCCCAAATCAATTTGAATAACGATATAAAATAATGGGACGGAATAGTTGATTTTTCTAGACAAATGCAAACCACCAAAAGTGATCCCAGAGTAGAGAAAAACCTAAACAGCCCAACATAAGCACAGAAGAAAATGAGAACTTAATCAAATGAGTATCTTTTAAAAATATATCAGAACAGCGTTTTGCACAGGTTAATGCTTTCAAACCGTCAGGGGATGTAATTCTGATACTATTCAAGGTTTTTCGAAGAACAGAGAAAAAAGCACTTCAGAACTATTTTTGCAAAGTCAATATTGCAGTGATAATCAAAACCTGACGAAGTTCAGAAAAAGGAATCAGAGTAGAAATCTCACTTGTATCAAAGCAATAAGTATTCATATATTAGCAGACAATATTCATCAGAACTTTTGAAAAATACACCACGAAGAAGAAACATAAGATGATTCAACATTAAAATCATAGTAAACTAATCCCCTATCCTATGTAATAAAAGCCTAATATGCTAAGTGTCTGGTCATCCAGTTGGCTGTTCAACCAATCAAAGCATAATATGCTAATGATATGCTAAGGCCCCTCAACTGCTCACTCTGATGTGCACTGACCACCGGAGGGGGGGTGGGGGGGGCAGGCACTCCAACCAGTAGGTTAGCTTGCTTCTGAGATCTGGCCGATCAGGACTGACCTGGAGCCCTCCCCAGCTGACCAACCTCCCATGTCCCTCCCCAGCTCTGATTGTGCACCAGTGGGGTTCCTTGGCCTGGCCTGAACCCTCTCACAATCTGGAACTCCCTCGGGGAATGTCAGAGAGCTGATTTTAGCCCCACTGCAGAACGACTGGTCACTATGATATCACTGACTACCAGGGGGCAAACACTCAACCCAGGACATCCCCTGAGGCTCCCGGATTACAAGAGGGCACAGGCAGGGCTGAGGGAGGCCCCCACCCCCGCAGAGTGCACAAATTTCGTGCACTGGGCCTCTAGTATATATCATAAGTACAAAGAGAAGAAAATAATACAAGAAGGATCCAAAACACATTTGACAAAACCCAACATTCATCTCTGATTGCATGAGAGAGTGAGAGAGAAAAGACCAATAAAATAGAAATACATAGGTATTTCACTGACATTGTAAAAATAAACCCAAAAGTCAGCATCATATAAATTAAACATCAGAAGTATTCCCATTAAAATGAGAAACAAAAAGGATTTCCACTAGCAATGCTGTTATTTAATATTTTTCTGGAACCACTAGTCATCACAATTAGGAAAAAAAAAAGTAAGAACATTTGAAAAGAGAGACAAAATATATCACTTCTTCCAGCTAATATCTAAATAACTCAAAGTCAACTGGGAAACAGTTTATAATAAGGTAACTTCTACTAGCTCATTAGTGGAAATGAGCAAATAAGCACTTAAAATAAAGGAAAATATTTTTTGTTTACAACAATTAGAATAAGAATCTTAGATGAAATGAAATAAATTTGCAAGACCCTTATGAAGAAAACTTTAAAATTCCATTGAGAGATATTTAAACGCCACTAAAATAACAGAAAAGACACACTGTGTTCTTGACTAGCAAGACCAAATTTTGCAATAACTTTTCCAGATTATAAATTAAATGGAACCCCAATAAAACTACTACCAAAAGGCTTAATTGGGGAACTTGACCAAGACAAGCATGGGGGAGGCATAAAACAATCTGAGAATGAGTATGGAAAGGTCAGATAATGTGATATAAATCTCCTGTCATTTCTTTCTCTTTTTTTAATATATTTTATTGATTTTGTACAGAGAGGAAGGGAGAGAGAGATAGAGAGCTAGAAACATCGATGAGAGAGAGTCATCGATCAGCTGCCTCCTGCACACCCCCTACTGGGGATATGCCCGCAACCAAGGTACATGCCCTTGACCAGAATCGAACCCGGGTCCCTTCAGTCCCCAAGCCAACACTCTATCCATTGAGCCAAATCGGTCTCGGCCAAATCTCCTGTCATTTCAAAAGTACTAGAAAAGTAATCATCGAATCAGTGGAGGAGAACAGTCTCAAAAAAGACCCAGTTCACCTGAGAATTTACTGTATAATAAAATCTGGGTATTAAGTCAGCCCCGGAGTCATTCATAGCAATCACCACCCTGGAAATCTTCATCGTTATTTTATTTATTCTCATATATTCCCAATAAATGATGTTGGGATGATCCACAGCTATGTGGAGAGAAAGCAAGCTTAGACTTTTCCCTTACTCTATCAAAATCAATATCTACTTTCTCTACTCTATCTGTATATACACATTTCTTTTTGGTTTAAAACATACACTGTTGACAGTGATTACTTTTTTAAAAATATATTTTACTGATTTTTTTTACAGAGAGGAAAAGAGAGGGATAGAGAGGTAGAAAAATCGATGAGAGAGAAATATTAATCAGCTGCCTCTTGCACACCCCCTACTGGGATGTGCCCACAACCAAAGTACATGCCCTTGACCGGAATCAAACCTGGGACCTTTCAGTCCGCAGGCCGATGCTCTATCCACTAGGCCAAACAGGTCTCGACAACAGTGGTTACTTTTAAGGAGCCAGACTAAGGTTGGGTTAAGGGAGGTGAAAGGAACTGGCATTTTTTTACCCTCCTCTACTGTGCATTTTTATTATTTGTTTTTTTGTTGTTGTTTTAATCTTTTATCAACCTGAAACTTTTTTTCCTCTCATTTTTTTTATTAAGGTATTATATGTGTACATACCTTACCAAGCCCCAACCCACCTCCACCCCCATTTTTATTATCTGTGTGTATTATTTCATTTCTTAAAAGTACAAAAATAAAGTGTATGTTCAAGGCCATACAGGCCATTTCAATATACCGTAATCAGATTTGCGTTTGACAAATTATGGTGTGTGTGTGTGTGTGTGTTTGGGGGGCGGGGGGGTGTTTTAATAGTCCATGTTTATTAAAACGAAACCTGTTTCTTTTACTGCAGGGTCTTCTCATAGGAGCACTAACTTGTTTCATCATCGCCGAAGCCCCGGAGTCATTCATAGCAATCACCACCCTGGAAATCTTCATCATTATTTTATTTATTCTCATATATATGCTAACCCTACACCACTTGCTGACTTACATACACTGGCCCTTACTTGTAAGTGTTCGCTTTCATAATCCGAATATAAGCTTCGCCCTCGGCCCCAGAGCAGAGGCTCTCTTTACGTGAAAGCACCCAGAGCACTTGCGCGCTCTCTCTCTCTCTCTCTCTCTCTCTCTCTCTCTCTCTGGGCAAGGACACAGCTGAGCTCTGACAGGGAGGGTGCCCCCTATTCCCCGGGGAGGAACCGGCCTCGGACCCCTCTGTCTACAGGGCAACCAGCGCACACCCCTGCCGCCACCTCATGATGGGTCTGAGCACGGGCACTCTGCCGCGTGTCCTAAAGAAGGGTCTCATGCATAGAGTCAGTGGTTACACGTTTTGTATTTGTTGCTTGTAAAACAGACATGCTTCCCCTTTGCAAACAGTTATAAACACCCACCCGCCTCCTCCCCGCCAAGAAAAGCAAGACCAGACATGCCAGAGGTACAGAAGATGGTCACGTATGCCCTGAAAGGTTGCAGCAGCCAACCTTTCCATGTGTGTTATTACGGGTCCGTACGCCCCAAAGGGTGCCGGATGGTAGAGGGTTCAGGAAAAGAAAAACAGGGCGCATTCTAGCCGGTCCGGCATCCCACAGTCTTTAGCAACTAAACGTTCCCGAAGCGAATCCCTCCGGGGCCTAAGTCTGCGTCCTCAGACCAGAGAGGGAATTCGGTGTCCGCTGGGCACAGACATGGGCCTCCTTCCTGGCTCTGGACCTTCCTGGCCGTGTGACCTGTAGCCCCCGTTCCCGCATCAGGGAAGGAAGAGGGCGATCCTAACGTCAGCGTGTTTCAAGCACACAGCCCAGCGCTTGGCACACGGGAACGACTGCTCGGGGAGCGGCCCGCAGACCCTAGATTCTAGAAGGCTCTCTCAGCCCCCAAGGGTGGCTTTTACCAGCGGAGCTGGCACCGCGAACAATGCTCGCCCGTGAGCTCGGACCTCGTCCGCACCGTGCTTCCCAAGGGCACCGCGTTCTATTCTCCGGGGAGAGCTGGTGGCTGTGGAGCTAAAACGCACACGTTTCCTTCAAGGGTCTGAGGGATTTTCTGAAACGGCTGCTGAGCTCTCTCTGTCCCGCCGAGCGCCGAGCAACAGGAAGCAGACAAAGCAGAGCCCTGGGCAGCTCCCGCTGGACACGTGGAAGGACCTGTTAGTGGCGGAGCCCCAACCAGGGAGAGGTTTCCCTCCAGGGGGAAGCGGAAATCTCTGTCCGTGGAAATGTCCGAGAAGGGAAGGTAAAGTAACCGTTTCTGAGCACGTGCCGTGCGCCAGGTACTTGTTCCTATGTACCACCTTATCTCACCCTCACAAGGACCCCACGCCCCCTCGGACAGGGGAGAACGTTGGATTGAAGGATTGAGTTGCCCGTGGTCATGTGTAGGGAGGGAAACTCGGATTTGAACCCGGACCTGCCAGACTCTAACCCTAACCCTAGCCCTAGCCCTAACCCTAACCCTAACCCGAGGCTCAACTAACTAGCAGCCCACATACTAAGCAGCCACATACTAACCAACCCTAACCCTAACCCGAGGCTCAACTAACTAGCAGCCCACATACTAAGCAGCCACATACTAACCAACCCTAACCCTAACTCTAACCCGAGGCTCAACTAACTAGCAGCCCACATACTAAGCAGCCACATACTAACCAACCCTAACCCTAACTCTAACCCGAGGCTCAACTAACTAGCAGCCCACATACTAAGCAGCCATATACTAACCAGCCCTAACCCTAACCCTAACCCTAACCCTAACCCGAGGCTCAACTAACTAGCAGCCCACATACTAAGCAGCCATATACTAACCAGCCCTAACCCTAACCCTAACCCTAACCCTAACCCTAACCCGAGGCTCAACTAACTAGCAGCCCACATACTAAGCAGCCACATACTAACCAACCCTAACCCTAACCCTAACCCTAACCCGAGGCTCAACTAACTAGCAGCCCACATGCTAAGCAGCCACATACTAACCAACATAGTTGATCAGGTAGTGAGTGATCTAATTGACTTGGGAGGTTTCTAAAAACATCCGTCAAAACAAGATCCAAAACTATTCTCTTCTCCTCTCCATTCCTTTCCTTCCTAGTCTGCCCTTTCGGATCCCATTAGGTGAAGGACATGAGTCTATACGATTGCTCAGAGGGTAAGCAGCTCCCACAGGGAGGCCTGGGCCCGATTTAAAATGTGCTGGCTTAGGGACAGTCCTGGGACCAGCCCAGGAAGTGACCAATTGAAACTTCAGAGTAGGCGGACTGGGAGACAGGTGGGCATCAAGCGGCAGGAGTCACCTGGGACCTTTAGAAGGGTCAGCGCAGCAAGCCAGAGAACACGGGTTCACACTGTCCCTGCTTCAGCACTCTGGCCTGGGGTCCAGCTGGCCCAGCTGCCACTTTCTCCCCTTCTCTCCAGGCAAATGGTTTAGTGTCCAGGGAGTAAAGGAAGAAGACCGTGGTCAGCAAACCACGGCTCATGAGCCACACGCGGCTCTTTGGCCCCTTGAGTGTGGCTCTTCCACAAAACACCACGGCCTGGGCGAGTCTATGTTGCAGAAGTGGCGTTAGAAGTTTAAGTTTAAAAAACGTGGCTCTCCAAAGAAATTCTGGTCGCTGGACTGTTGATATTTGGCTCTGTGGACTGATGAGTTTGCCAACCACTGGACTAGGGCAAAGAGTGCCAACTTTAAATATGTTTTAATTGATTTTTAGAGGGAGAGGAAGGGAGGATAGAGAGATAGAAACATCAATTGGCTGCCTCCTGCCCATCTCCTACTGGGGATCAAGCCCGAACCTGGGGCATGTGCCCTGGCCAGGAATCAAACCGGTGACCTCGTGGTTCATGGGTTGACTCTCACACTGAGCCACACCGGCCGGGCAGGAGTACTTATTTTAAGTGTCCATTTCCTTAAAGGCTCACAGGAAGAGCAAGTTCCCGATTCCCTTATTCCCATCCTTGTTCAGTAAAGGGCTAAGGCTGAAAGTCCCCAGCAGGGAGGTAGAAGGTCTGAGGAATCCAGGCTGACCCTCAGCAGGGCAGCACCACACAAAGCCAGCCTCACACAGATGACGTGCTGAGGGCTGTAGACCCTGGGTCCAGATTTGGGCAGGGTGTCCTCCTCTGCAGATAGGGTGGAGCCTGGGCTTGGGGACCCACACCCAAGTCTCAATGCAGCTTTTTCAAAAGCCTGGGTGAAGGCTGTGCCAGGGACCCTGACACCCATGGGGAAGGTGCCCATCCAACTCTCGGCTAGCCCCTGACTCATCAGCGCAGCTCTGAATCAGAGCGAGTTAAAATACAGCTTCCCTTACCCTCAACCCCAACGTGAAGCCACTCTCTTCATTTCTAACCTTCATTCCCAATTTGAGCCACCATCGTCTATATCACCTGTCAATATACCCAAGAAACGTATGAACTGTCATCACTGTCTTCCGGATAGCCCCTATTTTTTTTTTTAACACTTCTACATTGTAAAAAAAAAAAATATTCTCCAGGATGGTCAGAGAAACTGAGTTCTGTCAAGCAGATGTTCTTGCCAGTAGAAAGCAATTAAGAAAAGAAAAAAAAAAAGAACATAATAAACATATTTTAAAATAAAGCTCTATAGAAGTGATGATTCCTAAACTCCCAGCAATGTCTTTACATTTAGAAGTGAGAAGCATTAGCTTTCAGATTCGTGAAAAACACCGATTCTGGCAATTTCCGATCAGACGCTGCCACCCGTTTGGAGAACTCCAGGCACAAATGGAACCAATGAAAGTTGCAGCTCGTTGGCCCACCGTCTAATGTTGATTGTGTATGAATGCTTGTTACCAATCCCACAGGTTGTAAAACAGATTTAAACGTTTAAACGTTCTTTCCGTTTAGGGGGTATTTAAAAACAAGCATTCGACATTAGAGCCTCTTTTTCTTTCCCAGTTACAGTTTGACACCATGGTGTTTACCTCAGAGAACAGTCCGAGAGCTTTAAGGAAAATAACTGAGCAGTGACAAACCCATCCCTCATTCTGCTCAGCAGCGGCTACTTGAATCAATAGGGCACTGAGCCACGGCGGGTCGGGGAGAGGGAGAGAAACGACGATGCATTAGGATGGCACTGACAGGGGAACCTGCCAGAAGTCCTGCTGCGTGGTGCAAGGGTCCGCTGCCATTTTACCCGATCGAGGAGAACGTGTCTTTGTCAAGGACGAGGCCAACCAGAGGGTCTGTGTCTGAGGCAAAAGGAAGCGGGGTTAGTCAGGAGAAGGCCCCGGGCAATCAAGTCAGACAGCTAAGGGTCGGAGCCACTCACTGGCTGACCAATCTCCCCCTCCCCACGCAAGTTGCTCCCCCACGTGTGAATTGGGGATAATGAAAGTTTGTTGTGTGAATCAAATGAGATCATGTATTAACACCTTGGCACCGTATGTGACTCATAGTAAGTGCTCAAGAAATGTGAGCTGCCATAGAAACGTAGAGTACCAGGCAAACATGAGCTCCAAAAGACAGCTGAGGAGAGTGCTCCTTCTTGAGGAAGGACCACAGTAACCCATATCACCCAGGAGTCCAAGGAGGGGGTGGAACCGTGATGGGGAATCCGCCAGGGCCAGTCTGCATTTGGTTTAGTGCCAGGATCATTGTCAATGTCCTTTCATCCACATTCACAATGGCCCATGACCATGGCTAGTTCATTTTATCGTAACAAGTCTACAGTTTCTTAGTTGTAAGAGTCCTTGTTTGCATCTTCCAATAGCTTAGTCTGCAGTTCTCAGGTACAAGGCTGCAAACCGCTGCACCTGCCTCACAATAGCCAGACTTGTCAACCAGCCTATGGAACGTACTGGAACTCCCTTCCAACCCTCTCCAGCCCTGCTCCGCGTCCCCTTACAGTGTTACCCACCAGGTGCCCAGATAATAGACCCTTCCGAGAGGCAGGTTCACAAAAGGCTCCTTGCTTTCTAATCTCAACAGGAAAAACACCTGGAATTTGCGGAAAGTTTACTGTCTATGCACATTTTGAGGCCAGATATCACGAATCTACGTGTTGTTGTTGTTTTTTATTATTATTATTGATTTTTTTTTTTTTTTACAGAGAGGAAGGGAGAGGGATAGAGAGCTAGAAACATCAATGAGAGAGAAACATCTATCAGCTGCATCCTGCACACCCCCCCACTGGGGATACGCCCACAACCAAGGTACATGCCCTTGACCAGAATCGAACCTGGGACCTTGCAGTCCGCAGGCCAACGTTCTGTCCACTGAGCCAAACCGGTTTCGGCATGAATCTACGTGCTAATGCACTCCCACTACTCACTAGACGCCAGGCACTAACCTGCTGCTTTCAGATTCCTTACGCCACGTAATCCTCAGATCAACCCCACCAATCCCAACCATTAGCTTCATATTAAAAATCAGCATGCTGGCACGGGGGTGGGGGTGTTGGGGGAGGTGACAAAGTGTGCTCCAGTCACACATCTGGGAACTGGCAGGCCAAAAATGAGCTCCACAAATGACACCCACAAAAAGCACTCTCACCTCTTGTGTCTCATCCATGCTGACCCTCAATGCCCCATTCTACAGAAAACGACAAAGATGGAGGCTGCCCTTCCATGCTATGCATGTGTCCCCACAAGAATGCGTTGAGTTCTGACTCCACCCTTTGCCTACACCATCGTAGGCAATTTAGTGAACCCCTCTAAGCCTCTGTTACAGCCTCTTCACTGGAGATCACAACCATTCTGACTGTGCAGGGTGCTCAGGAGGGTTCAATGAGAGAATGACTGGGAAGTGCTCGGCACCTTGAAAAGCCACTGGGATGGCAGGCTCCTTGCTGTATCTGGGCAAGAACACCCGACAGGTTGATACCACTAAGTCAGGCCACTTTAAGACTAAAAATGGCCGAAACCGGTTTGGCTCAGTGGTAGAGCATTGGTCTGCGGACTGAAAGGTCCCGGGTTCGATTCCGGTCAAGGGCATGTACCTTGGTTGCGGGCACATCCCCAGTAGGGGGTGCGCAAGAGGCAGCTGGTCAATGTTTCTCTCTCATCGACGTTTCTGGCTCTCTATCTCTCTCCCTTCCTCTCTGTAAAAAATCAATAAAATATATTTTAAAAAAAAACAAAAAAAAAAAAACTAAAAATGTTCCAATTTGTTATCTGGGCCATATCAAGATTCTATCGCCCTGGGCTGTTGCCCCTCCCCATAAACTGGTGTCACGGACACATGCAGTGCCTTCTTCCATTGCTGCCCCACCACCAAAGCCCAACCACTGCCCATTTATCCTCATCCTTTACTTAGCAGTTAAAGAACCCCGTACTGACATCCAGAAGGAAGGATGTTGGCACAGACGTCAGTGCAGACTCAACTGTGACCACGTCTTAGGAAAACGCAAAAGTCAACAACAGCACAAGGCATTCACTCCAGAACATCAGACCCGCTCCCCAGAAGGCTTCCTGCCTTCTCAGGCTATGTGAACGTGAACCTACAGAATAAATATGACCCACCGTCTAAAGGATCGGTTCTACCAAAAGATTTGGGGGTGGAATGAAATCAGTCAAGTCCTAATCCATAATTTTAATTTGTAAAACATTTTCATTGATTTCATAGAGGAAAGGAGAGGGAGAGAGAGAGAAACATCAACGATGAGAGAAAATCATTGGTCACCTGCCTCCTGTGCACACACACACACCCCCTCCGCCGGCCCCCACTTCCCAGTGGAACCCAGGCACATGCTCTGACAGGGAACTGAACGGTGGTTTCCTGGTGGGTCAATACTCAACCAGGAAGCCACATGCACCAGGTCTAAAATTTTATTTTTATATTAAAACAAATGTATTGTGGAACAGAATCCAGAATTAATTTAAAATATAAGGCTTCCTTGCAGGCACCAGTTTGGCTCAGTGGATAGAGCATCAGCCTGTGGACTGAAAGGTCCCGGGTTCGATTCCGGTCAAGGGCATGTACCTTGGTTGCGGGCACATCCCCAGTAGGGGGTGTGCAGGAGGCAGCTGGTCGATGATTCTCTCTCATCGACGTTTCTAACTCTCTATCCCTCTCTCTTTCTCTCTGTGAAAAATCAATAAAATATTTAAAATATAAGGCTTCCGAAAATCATATTTTTGGAAGGCCAATTTGGGCTCGGCCCCCAAACCTCCAGCTGTTTTCATGCTCACTTTCCACGGCCTTGAAGAAAAGTCTGACGGAAAAGTCAGATTTTATGTTTTTTAATGGTGCTCTTTAACGAAATTAAACCCATGTCTGCTGACAAAGTCCTATCCAGGGCCTTAAAATCACATAAACTCATGTCTCTGGAAGATGTAAGAATTATGCTGCTGGGGATTCCTCTGAATATTAATCAGAGGGGAAAGTCTGCAACAGACGTCTATCCTTACATAGGTAACTGACCCTTTTACATGTTTTATGAAACTACATTTTCATGTAAAGTTGATCATGTTCAATTCTGTCTTACAGGATCTTATCAACAGTTTCATTACCACCATCTTCCTTTTAGTCGTGGCCATCTTGACAATACACGAAAAGGAAAGGAGACGCTTATTCTACATCGGAGGGGTAAGTAAAGGCCCCCACGACTCCACTGTAGCTGAGAACTGGCACACCAACACCATTTCCATTACAGAACACCCTCACCACCGTCCTTTCTCTTCTCTGCACCCAGAACTTGAGAGGACGTGAAGTTACACACATTCTAAGCTCATGAAAATCTTCATCCTGGTACCCATTCTCCAAACAGGGATAAAAGCAAGTTGCTGAAGCCCTTTTTGAGAATCGTATACACTATTACAAGATGTTCTTGTCTACTGTGTTTCCCCGAAAATAAGACATCCTCCGAAAAAAAGACCTAGCGCATGGAAAGATAAGACATCCCCTGAAAATAAGACCTAGCGCAACTTTGGGAGAAAAAAAATTAATATAAGACACTGTCTTATTTTCGGGGAAACAGGGTATACATAGGACTTAGACTTTTCGGGCTGGACTAGAGGGTATCTTAAAAGCACATGAAAAGAATAATTGTAGGGGGAGGGAGGGGGGAGAGCATTGTTAAAAGTGAGTGAGCCAGCCTATTCAAGAAGGAAGGAAGGTAGGAAGAAAGGAAGGGAGGGAGGGAGGGAGGGAGGGAGAAAGGAAGAAGGGAGGAAATCCAAGAGAGGAAATTACTTTCCAGCATCCAAGAAGTGCTCACACAAAGCTAGGCTTGTTTGTCTGTTTTGTTAATCCTCACCTGAGGATATTTTTTCCATTGCTTCTCGGAGAGAATGGGGGGGAGGGAGAGAGGGAGAAGGAGAGAGACATAGAGACACATCCATCGGTCATCTCCCACATGTGCCCCAACCCGGCCCAGGACCAGGGATCGAACCTGCAACCCAGATACATGCTCTTGACCAGGAATCAAACCCGAGACCCTTCAGTGGTCTGGACTGACACTCTAACCATTGAGCAACACAGGCCAAGGCCAAGGCCAAGGCATGTTTTGACTCAATCTTGACAACTCTCATTTTGGCAGATATGGCACAGGCTGGGATACACTGAAACTTGAATCCTCATAGGAAGGGCACAAAACATGGCAGATTACATGCTTGGAAGATGGTGGGAGTGTGGGGAGGTGAGACTTTGGTTTAAGAGGTTAAACTGCTGAAACTGGTTTGGCTTAGTGGATAGAGCGTCGGCCTACGGGCTGAAAGGTCCCAGGTTCGATTCCGGTCAGGGGCATGTACCTTGGTTGCAGGCACATCCCCAGTGCGGGGTGTGCAAGAGGCAGCTGATCGATGATTCTCTCTCCTCAATGTTTCTAACTCTCTATCCCTCTCTCTTCCTCTCTGTAAAAAAAAATCAATAAAATATATATTTTTTTTTTAAAGAAGAGGTTAAACCATGGGAAGAGAAATTAATTTTTAAAAAATGGTTGAAGTTTTTTTTAATTCATTCCATAATCAGTAAATACTTGCCAGTCCCATCGGATTGTGCCAGGCCTGAACTCTGTGTTGGGGATAGAATCCTTTCCCCCAGGGGAACTCGCAGATTAAATGGGGCGAGAGCTGCCTAGGAAAAGTTCGTTTAAGCAGCCATGGATTACGTGACCAGAAAGAGAAACATCCAAGGCAGACAGGAGCTGGTCCCCATTTGCTAACTCAGACTCCAAGTCTTCTGCCATCGGCCAGGGGATCCTAGTGCCTGGTCTCCATAAATTCTTACCTGGATGGAGGAGAAACCAAGATGGCGGCATAGGGTAGACATCCGAATGCAGCCTACCACAACAAATTTGAATTTAGAACTGAAAAACAGGGGAAACATTGTCCTGAAGCGCCGGACGGCTGGCCGAGAGGAGGCTCTACTATCTGGGAAGGAGAGGGAAGGTGCGCTGAACCTCGGGAACTGTGAAGGTGCAGAGAACTACGCGCATGAAAAGGTGGCCACCCGACTTCGCTGCCGGCTTGCTTGCGGAGCGCGGAGAGGGCGGGCTGAGTTTGCTACTGGCTTACTCCCTGCACGGAGAGGGCGGACAGCTAATGCGCGGCTGGCTTTCTGGTTCGGGAGAAAAACAGAACCACCCTATTGCACTGATAGACAGCCCCAGACAGGGAGAGGCCAGACTGTCAGGCAGTGGGCAGAGATCTCTCGGAGGTGTGTGAAGCCAGCGGCCATTACCGGGGGACTCAGAAACCAGACCCTCGTAGGGAGGGGCTGAATAAAGCTTGTCTGCACCACCTGAGACTCCGCCCCATCCAAGTGGAGCACAGAAGCCCTTCCAGTGGCTAGCTTTCTCATTTGCAGTGAATGGGACTCTCATAGGGAGTGACAGACAGGAATCTAAAGCTTGTCTGCGCCTATACCAAAGAGGTGTGTGCGCCTGCAACCAGCTGTGCAGGATTCAACAAAGCTTGTCTGTCTCACCCGAGACTCCGCCCATTCAAGCAGAATACAGAAACCCTCCTAGCTGAGACACTTCTGATCCTCAATTGGCTTGGAGATCAACGCTTCCCAGTAATACCAACAACAAGCAAGGCTTAACAACAAGACTGCACACACAGCCCACAAAGAGCTACACCACGACTGTCCACCTCAGGTAACTGAGAGGCTGACTCACTGAACCATATAGGACACCTTAGCACACAAAGCCACCCTACCAACTCAGGGAAGCTGTGAAAATGCCGAGACAAGGAAACATCACAAACAAAAGAAATGGAGGAAAAGAAGCGACTGGATATAGATTTCAAAACCACGCTTATAAGGTTTTTCAAGAATTTCCTAGAAAAGGCCAATAAAATAAACGAGACCTATGAGGATATGAAAAGGGATCAACTAGAAATAAAGAATACATTGTCTAGCCAGGACCGGTTTGGCTCAATGGATAGAGCATCGGCTTGGGGACTGAAGGGCCCCGGGTTCGATTCCGGTCAAGGGCATGTACCTTGGTAGCGGGCATATCCCCAGTAGTGGGTGGGCAAGAAGCAGCTGATCAATGACTCTCTCTCATTGATGTTTCTAACTCTCTATCTCTTTCCCTTCCTCGCTGTACAAAAATCAATAAAATATATTTTAAAAAATCTTATTAAAAAAAAATACATTGTCTGAAATAAAAAATATTATACAGAGTCCTAAAAACAGAATGGAAGATCGCAAGAATCAAGTCAAAAATTTGGAACACAAAGAGCCAGAGGACATTCCTCCACAGAAGCAAGAAGATAAGAGAATCCAGAAAGTTGAAGATAGTGTAAGAAACCTCTGGGACAATTTCAAATGAGCCAACATCAGAATTATGGGGGTCCCAGAAGAAGAGAGAGAGCAAGATACCGAAAGAATACTGGAAGAAATAGTGACAGAAAACTTCCCCCACCTGGGGAAAGAAATAGACTTACAAGTCCAGGAAGCGCATAGAACCCCAAACAAAAGGAATCCAAAGAGTACCATACCAAGACACATCATAATTAAAATTCCAAGAGCAAAAGACAAAGAGAGAATATTAAAAGCAGCAAGAGCAAAGCAGGTAGTTACCTATAAAGGAGCACCCATACGATTGTCATCTGATTTCTCAACAGAAACCATGCAGGCCAGATGGGAATGGCAAGAAATATTCAAGGTGATGAATAGAAAGAACCTACAGCCAAAAATACTCTACCCAGCAAAGCTATCACTCAGAATCGAAGGCAAGATAAAGAGCTTCACAAATAAAAATAAAAAAAGCTAAAGGAGTTCATCACCGCCAAACCAGAATTATTATATATGAATTGCTGAAAGGGGTTCTTTAGGAAGAGAAAGTAAATAAAGATAAAAACTATGAACAACAAATATGTAACTATCAACAAGTGAATCTAAAAACCAAGGGAATTTAAAAAATCTGATGAACAATATTAACTGGTGAATATAATAGAATCAGAGGTATGGAAGGGGAGTGAACTGACGATTCTCAGGGAAAAGGGGAGAGGGGGGTGTGGGAAGAGACTGAACATAAACTGTGCACCTATGGATGAGGACAATGGGGGGGGGGGGAAGGGCAGAGGGTGGGGTGGGAACCTGGTGGAGGGGAGCAATGGAGGGGGGGGAAATGAGGAACATTTGTAATAATATGAACAATAAAGATTTATTTTTTAAAAACATTCTTACCTGGAAGGCAGGAGACCTCACCACCTCCCACTAGCCCCCCTGCCTCCAGCCTAGGTCACTGGCCAGTCACCTCGCTATTCGGCAAGAGGGCTTTCTGAGTCCGACAACCCCTCACCTCTCCTCTTGATAAAGTCCCACATCCTGCACCTCCCCAGCCTCAACTCTGCCCCTCCCTCAACCTCTCCAGAGGTCTCGGCCCCCCCAGAGTCCTCGGAGACCTCAGTCAGCCCAGTGCCTGGAGTTCTCCTCCCAGCTGGTGCCCTTAGAAATTCCTTCCTGCCCTTTCAAACTTAGCCCAAGAGTCCTGTCCACCAAGGGCCACCTCAGGACCCCAACCCCACCCGGAGCCCCCCTAAGTCCAGTGTCCTTCTCTGGGCCTTTCCTGGTGCCTCGTGAGTCAGATGAGGTCATTAGTGTCTGCAAAACTCACCATTTACCAAAATTCCTTTCCCTGGGAATGACAGAAAGTGTCCCAGCAGGTAGCGGAGGGTCAGAGAGGGGCAAGAAGATAGGTGGCGTCCCTGGATGGGGATCAGGAAGACAGACAGGTGGCTCCTGAGCTGCACAGTAAACCCAACTTTCCTTCCTGCGGATGGCCTTGTGTCCCACAGACCCTGTGTTTTGTGGCGGCCATCGTGTGTTTCGTGGATATGATCCTGGTCACCAACATGGTGAGGAGTACCATGAAGAAAGCCCTGGGCATCGAAGGCGAAGCTGCTGCGGCCGCCCCAGCCAAGGAAGAACCTGGCCAGCAGCAGCCCCAAGAGCCCCAGCAGGAGCCCAAATCCCAGCCTGGGAAGCCGCCCAGCCCTGTGTCCTCGGAGCCAGCTGCCGTGGGATCCCTGCCGGCCAAAGAGGCTGAGCCCTCGGCCTGAGCTCACACGCTGTCACCCGTGTCGGCCCGCACACGTGATCATAAAGTCAGGGCCTCTGAGCCAGGAACACTTCTGCTTCCACGTGTCGCCTTGTGTCCAAGTCCAATTGCCTTTCTCCCTCTCCCCCAACCCCAGGCCTCCTTCCCCCCGAACCCCCATCGCCTCCCAGGGCACAGCGGCCTTGGTCTCAGGGGGGCCACTCAAGGCCCTGGACACCGCCCGGCTGCCAGCCAACCCAACCCTGGGACCAGGCCAGGCTGGACTGTGAAGGGATCCCAGGGAAGGGGCGGGGCCTTGGCGGGGGCGTGGCTCCTGCATGGGGGCGGGGCCAGCCTGGACTGTGAGGGGGAGCCGGGGCAGAGGCGGGGCCTGGGCGGTGGGCGGGGCCTGGGCGGGGCTAGTGGGCGTGTGGCGGTGGGCGTGGCTCCTGCATGGGGGCGGGGCCAGCCTGGATGGCTGGGCAGCAGGGCGGGCCCTGCGGTGCAGGGGTGACCTCGCCACGGTGGGAAGGGCGCGTGCGGAGGGCACCACGCGATGGCCCCCGCTGGCCTCTGGCCGTTGGCTGAGCGTGGCCTCCGAGCTGGTCGGTTGGCACCCGGCTGGCTCAGGGTCAGGCCTGTCCCGGGAACAGCAACAAGAGATTGGGCAGGCCGTGAGAAGCCCAAGGGGCGGTCCTCGCCAAGATGGCAGACAAAGGCAAAAAGGGGGACAAGTCGGGCGGCAAGCAGGAGGGAGAGCAGCCCTTGGGGGAGGACAAGAAGGGGGAGGACAAGAAGGGGGAGAAGAAGGGAGAGGAGCCGCCGCCGCCCAAGATCAAGTCCGTGCAGCCCAAGGATGAGGTGGGCACCAGGAAGGGGTGCCGCCGCTACCGCTGGGAGCTCAAGGACAGCAACAAGGAGTTCTGGATGGTGGGGCACGCCTTGATCAAGATCCTGAGCGTGGTGAGTGGGCCCGGCCCGGACAGAGGGGAGGAGCGGGCTCCCGAGGCCCAGGCGGAGGAGCCGGGAGCCGGTGAGAGCCCTTGGCCTTGGCCTTGGCCGTGTGTGTCTCTCCCGACAGGGCTGCCTGGTAGGCGCGCTCATCGTGTTCACCGGCACCGTGGTGCACCCGCTCGTGACCCTCATGATCATAATGGAGCTGTCCATCTTCCTCTTCTTCATCTTCATCTACACCTTCGCCATCAACAAATACATGCCCTTCATCCTGTGGCCCGTCACTGTAAGTGCAGGAGCCGGGGCCCGGGCCCGGGCCTGCCCAGGCGCTCGCCCGCATCTATGCCAGGCGTGGTGGGCACAGCGCCGCCGGATGGGGCTGGGGGAGAGGCGGCTGCATTTAGGTGGAGAAGCTCGGAGAAAGCCCAGCTTGAGGAAAGGAGGCTCTTAACCCACCTGCTGGTCAGGGCCCCAAGGTCTTGGCTCTTCGGAGGGTCCGCTGCTGCCCTCGGGAGGAGGGGGAGGTGTGGCCATGACCCGCTCTTCCCAAGCCCTGTCCCAGCTCACACCCAGAACATACCCCGTCCCCTGAACGCAAAGAAAAACAATCTTCCCACAAGTTGGTCAAATAAAAATGAGGGGGGAAAAATTTTTTTTTTAATTACTATTTCTAGCCAAAGCTTGTTTGGCTCAGTGGATAGAGCGTCAGCCTGTGGACTGAAGGGTCCCGGGTTCGATTCCGGTCAAGGACATGTGCCTTGGTTGCGGGCACGTCCCCAGTGGGGGGGGGGGGGGTGCAGGAGGCAGCTGATCGATGTTTCTAACTCTCTGTCCCTCTCCTTTCCTCTCTGTAAAAAAAAAAAAAAAAAATTAATAAAATATAAGGAAAAAAAATCACTTCTAAAACAGCCTAAGATCTCCCAGGGACTAGCCCTGGAAAGGGTGTTCCACCAGAAAGAGGTTCAGGGGAAAGCAGCCGTCCACTGGGCTAGGATTGGGCAAGTGGCCCACCCACTTCGAGCCTCTGCCCCCTCGCCTGCCACGGGAGGTCACGCTACTCGCCGCTGTGATTGTCCCCGAGGAGCCACGTAAAGTGCGTGGCGGGGCGCCCGAGGGCTGGCAGGCCTGACTGCCTGCCCCGCTGCCTGTGTAACCACAGAGCACAGCCCTCACCTCAAGCCCAGGCCCTCAAGCACCGCACATTCCCAGCACGCCTCCAGCGCCCCGTGCTCCCTGCTCCTCTCCCTCTGCACACGACATGGGCTCAGAATGGCCAAGTAACTTGCCTCCAAGTAACAGCCAGTAAGTGGCACATGAAAAAAAGACTCTCCCTGAGTAGCATCTGAGTCCTTAACCGCACTCTGTCCTGCCAACTTGTTCAAAGCTACTAGGGCCCAACCGATTTGGCTCAGTGGATAGAGCATCAGCCTGCGGACTGAAAGGTCCCAGGTTCGATTCCGGTCAAAGGCATGTGCCTTGGTTGCGGGCACATCCCCAGTGGGGCATGTGCAAGAGAGACAGCTGATCAATGTTTCTCTCTCATTGATGTTTCTAACGCTCTATCCCTCTTCCTTCCTCTGTGTAAAAAAAATCAATAAAATATACTTTTTTTTTTTTTTTAAGTTACTAGGGTCCAGGGACCCATGGGTCTCGGTGTGGTATGTGGGGATCCTCAGTACAGGGAGAAAGGAGGAGAGAGCCAATAAGGCTCTTGGGATAAGCAGAGGGCAGAGAAAAGGGACAGGCAGAGAACAAGTTCCCAGCCAAGGAGCTTGAGAGAAGACATTTCTGTTTTAGCTCCAGCAAGATGAAAAATCGGGGAAGCCTGGAGTCCTCCTGCTGCTGCACTTACCTAAAAGCCAGGGCGGGTGTAACCACTATTGCTCTAACTGAATGGCTGAGCGGGGGGGGGGGGGGGGGGGGGACACACACACACACACACACACACACAAGGCGCCAGAAATGAAAACAGGAGCAGTGATCAAATACGCCCCTGAGGTTGGTGGGAATAGCTCAGAGTGTTACTTAGGAGTACGAGCTTTCATCCATCCTTAAGTTAGGTGATGAGGCACCGGTCCCAAGCAAAGCGGGGATTTAGAACCGAGAGCCCTACCTGAAGCCAGCGCCCCTGGAAAGACTACAGTGCTCCCTTAGGGGAAGATGGGGAAGATTCCTTTTCCTACACAGAGAGACCAGAAAGCATGCTTGCCCAGCTGGTGTAGCTCAGTGGTTGAATATCAATCTATAAACCAGGAAGTCAAGGTTCCATTCCCAGTCAGGCAGGGCACATCCCAAATTGTACTTCTCCCTCTCCCTTCCTCTCTGAAATCAATTATACACACACACACACACACACACACACACACACACACACACACATACAGGCAAGAAAGCATACTCATCTCTGCTTGAGCTTAGAATGGAATAAACGAAAAAGACCACCGTGAAACAATCAGGAAGGATATATGCACCCCTACGTTCACAGCAGCACAGTTTACAATAGCTAATATTTGGAAACTGCCTCAGTGCCCGTCAGCAGATGAGCGGATTAGAAAACTGTGGTATGTCTACACAATGGCAAACCATTCTGCTGTAAAAAAAAAAAAAAGAAGGCCCTCTTACCATTTGTAACAGCATGGACGGACCTAGAGAGCATTATGCTAAGCAAAATAATCCAGTCAGAGAAAGATAAACACACCTAATTGCGCTCATCTGTGGAATATAATAAACAACATAAACTGATGAACAAAAATAGATCCGGAGACATAGAAGGATCAATCAGACCGTCAAACCTCAGAGGGAACCGAAACCAGTTTGGCTCAGTGGATAGAGCGTCAGCCTGTGGGCTAAAGGGTCCCAGGTTCGATTCCGATCAAGGGCATGTACCTTGGTTGCGGGCACATCCCCAGTGGGGGGTGTTCAGGAGGTAGCTGATTGATGTTTCTCTCTCATTGATGTTTCTAACTCTCTCTTTCCCTTCATCTCTATAAAAAAAAAATCTATAAAATATATATTTTTTTAAAAAATTTAAAAAAAAAAAAAAACCCTCAGAAGAAGGCAGAGGAGGGGAGGTAAGAGAGCAAGTAAAGGAATTATATGCCATGGCCCGGATCCTGGCAATTAGCAGCCTCACCTGTGAGATCCCCAGCCTGGGCTCCACGCAGGGCAGGAGGAGACTTGATGCCTGCGGGAGGGGAACTGGTCTTCAGAGAGGACAATACTGATGGGAACTGAGGTACTAAGGGTCTTGGTAACTGTATTTGTTGTTTATGCTGAAAGGAAGTAGGCTGAGTCAATGATTTGACTCATGCACATAAGACAAGGGGAAATGAGAGGGCAGGGCAGGGTGAGGATAAACTCCAGACTCCACTGTGGGGGCAGGGAGGAGTTATCCTCCATTTTGTGTAACTGGACCCTAGCCCTCACCCAACCAATCAGGGTCAGCCAAAGCAGTGACATCACCACCAGCGTAAAACCCCCGGGCGTGGCGAAGTTCGCTCTCGTCTGCCTGGCGGTCGGTGTGAGTGGAACAGAGCCCATGTTAACATGGGAGAGGTTCTCTTGTTAACTGCAAAAAAAAAGGAGTTATATGCGTGCATATAAGCATAACCCATGGACAGAAACAGTAGGGGGGATGAGGACATGTGCTACGAGGTGGGAACAGCTAGGGAGAAGGCGAAGGGAGGGGTGGGGAGACATATGTAATACTTTAAACAATAAAGAATTTTTTAAAAAGACCACTTTGAGAAATATAAATTTTGAGCTTGGACTTTATATGGATTTGGTTGGAATTTTTACTACCTTCAGCCTAGAAACCTTAGAGAATGTGATGCCTGAGGAATTAGCATGAAAATTGATCCCAATTTTATGATATTCAGATGATACCCATGGAACTCCTGAGAGAACCAAATACAAAATCACGAAACCTAAAGATAGATTCGCACAGGGTGGGTAGGGGGCACAAAGGGGTCAGATATGAACTCACAGTTCAAAACTACAAAGCGTCGCAGTTTAAAACCCCCACGAGTAAGAATAAAGAATCAGCAAATATAACAAATGGATTAGAACACTGAAAAGATAAAGTTATCAAAAATAGAAAGTATACTTAAAATTATTAAAGACATAAATAAGAGCACTAAGAAAAGAATAAGACATGATGAAAGAATAGACATTTTTTTAATTTTATATATATTTTATTGATTTTTCACAGAGAGGAAGGGAGAGAGATAGAGAGCTAGAAACATCTATGAGAGAGATACATCGACCAGCTGCCTCCTGCACCCCCCCCACCGGGGATGTGCCAGCAACCAATGTACATGCCCTTGACTGGAATCGAACCTGGGACCCTTGAGTCTGCAGACCGACCCTCTATTCACTGAGCCAAACCGGTTTCTGCATTTTTTTTAAATTTTTAAAAAATAGATTTGAAGGGTTTGGGATCCAAGATGGCAGCCTAGGTAAACACCTAACTGATGCCTTGCACAACAATTTCAAAATTACAACTAAAAGACAAAACATCTATCACCCAGAACCACAGGAAAGCTGGCTGAGTGGAAGTTCTACAACTAGAAGGAAAGAGAAAAGAGCATTGAGACATGCACAAGCCCTGAAAAGCTGAGGTATGGAGGCACGTGATCCGGGCTGGCGGTGGGCATTGCCTTTTTCAACCCGAAGGGAGACAAGCTCCTGATCACTCTGAAAACCAGTTTCTGAGGAGACGTGGGGGACCCAAACTCCTCCGGGGAGAATCTGGACTGTCTGCCATCGGGTCAGAAAGTGAGGGTGGCTTGCTTACAGAGCTGTGCAGATATCATTGTTTACTGCATTGGGGTGCAGGACGTGGGGACACGGTCTGAGATGCAGAGACAGCTAACTGGCAGCCATCGCTGTTTGCCACGCCCTAGCCTAGTGATGCCCTAAGACCCCGCCCCGTACAACCTACAAACCCACCCAAGCTCCAAGCAGCAGCTTTTGCATATGAATGGCCTGCCCTATTTCAGCTTAACCTAGCAAACTTGCAGCACTGTTCTGACAGCTCCAAAACCTCCAAACCCCAAGCAAACAGGAGAAAACTGTAGTTCTTGCAGTAGCTCCTGCTGGGTGGCCTCAGACAGTAGCTAACCTGCACCCCATTGGAGATCCAGAAGCTAGTGGTCAGTGTGAGACACCAGATTTCAACTCCTCACACCCATAAGTGACACATTCAAGAGGCAGACTCAGTGAGCACCAAAGCCCCACTGAAACAAGGCCTGCACCATAAGCGTGTCACCAGCACAGTAGTTCTTC